CCTTTAAAAATACAATGGTATGTTAAGAGTGTAACGAAATGTCTAGAAGACAGAGTGAAAAGATGAAAGCTATCTACCAGTAACTGCAATGGAAAATTGTTTAAAAAGATTAATTTTGTCATTAAGAAAGAGTATATAATATACTTTTATGTGACATTTCTACTATGTAGCTATCGGGTAAGAGACCGGATTCCAAGTACCTCTGTAAAAAGCATTTATTGACTTTAGAAGTTTTCTTTAGTAAAATACAATTTAATTTTTAAAAACTCACCATTCTTATATCATATTATATATACAAATAAATGTACTACATTCATATATATGTGTGTATGATATATATATTTTGACACCACAAATGTGAATTTCAATAACACAAAAGTCTACAGGAGAATAATGGTAGTTGCATGTCACCTTGTTCCTTCATAATCTACCACAAGGATATCTGTTATAGACCTTCCTTGAAGAGCACTGAACCTAAAACTACATGAAGATGCATTGGTTTAAAATGGATTTTTGCAACCAAAAGGTGTCTGTAACTGTTCTGATCGACTATGACTGATCCACACGGAACCATGTGTGGGTAACAGGATTTGCACTTCCACGATCTCAAAAGTATAAGCGCACAGCAAAAAGGAACAAGATTTTTTTGAGTTCACCCCATTGGACCACTTCCCACCCACATATCATGGATTGGTTCATAGTTTTCCCCCAAATCCACCCCTAAACAGCCATTATGCTGGCTTTCTGCATAGCTGCACTCACAATAACTCTTACTGTTGGGTCAAACAACAACACAGCTTCTAAAGGTCTCTAGAAAATGACACTAAAGGATATCAACCTAAACAGCGAAATCTTTTAGAATCTAATGAGGTCTTATCCAGACGCATGAGAATAACAGATTTCTAAAAGCAATACTGCAATTCTCTTGGCCATTTACCGTTTGTTGTTTTCCTTTGACAGGGCCATCAAAATGTGGGGTTTACACACTTGGGCTTTCACTCTACTTGAGAAAATAAAGATGTAAAGTGTTTGAAAAACAAACACTTTATGGTTCTTCTTGCTAAACCACAGTGTGTACGTATTGTGAATGCTCCATATGAATTTGCTAAGTAAATGGGCCACAGGCGTGTTCATGGACAAACGGCTATCGGAAATGGGCTAGTAATCAGAGCACGCGTGGTGATGATGATTTATCTTAATCAGGACCCAGGGCACTCCAGATGTTTGGTCCCTGTGCACTCCTAGAGAATAACCCAGAAGGATGCTGCAGTCTAATGTGGAGGGGCGGTTCCTCCACTCCAGAAATAGGCCTCCTTTTTGTCAATACACAGAAGGCTATAAGAAGGTATCTTCCCAGAACTAAGTAATAATGTCCCCTGAGAGGGAAACAAGTCAAAAACCCAACGGGTGGGATTAATTCTTTGGTAAAACTACCCCAAGGCAACAGATGTTGACCAAGTCCATATTTCAGGGCAACTATAACAATTACGACAGGTTCAAGAAGCTGGGGTGTTTCAAATATGGCTACAAAAAGAACCACGCAAAATGAGTCATTCGTGCGGAACCCCATAAGTCTCTCAATGACACTATAAAAGTTTAGGTCCTGTGAGAATCTTGGTTCAGAAGCCCAGGTCTTTGTGTGTTAGTATATTTCCTCCTAAGAGTAAGCAAGGTACTTTCAAAGGACATACATTCTTTTTTAAATTGTATTTATTGGGGTGACATTGTTAATAAAACCATGCAAGATTCAGGTGTACAACTCTGTAACACATCATCTACATGCTGCACTGTGTGCTCGACACCCAAGTCAAGTCTCCTTCCATCACCATTTCTCCCTCTTCTGTCCTCTTCCCCCTCCCCTTCCCCACTTTTCCACCTGGCAATCACCATACTGTTGTCTGCATCTGCTTTTTTCTTCTGCTTAATCCCTTCACTTTTTAACCCAGCCCCCTAACCCCCTCTCCCCTCTGACAGCTATCAGTCTGTTCTTTGTATCTGTGAGTCTATTTTCTATGTTGTTAGTTTATTTTGTTCCTTAGATTCCACATGTAAGTGAAATCGTGTGTTTTTTTTTTCTTTCTCTGACTGGTTTATTTTGCTTATCATAATACTCGCCAGTTCCATACATGCTGCCAAAAAGCATGGATTTCCTTCTTTTTTATGGTGAGTGGTATTCCATTGTGTAAATATACCACAGCTTTTTTATCCACTAACCTACTGATGGGCATTTGGGCAGCTTCCAAATCTTGGCTATTGTAAATAATGCTGCTATGAACATAGGGGTGCAACATATTCTTTTGAATCAGTTTTTTGGGTTTCTTCAGATATATTCACATAAGTGGAAGTCCTGATTCAAAAGGCAGTTCCATTTTTAATTTTTTGAGGAAACTCCCTACTGTTTTCCACAGATGCTGCACCAGTCTCCATTTCCACCAACAGTTCATGAGGGTTCCCTTTTCTCCACACCCCTGCCAAAACTTGTTGATTGTTGATTTATTGATGATAGCCATTCTGTCAGATATGAGGTGATATTGCATTGTGGTTTTAATTTATATTTCTCTGATAATTAGTGACATTGAGCATCTTTTCATATATCTGTTGGCCATCTGTATGTCCTCTTTGGAGAACTATCTATTCAGGTCCTTTGCCCATTTTTTAATTAGATTGTTTTCTTGGTGTTGAGTTGTACAAGTTCTTCATAAATTTTGGAAGCGAACCCATTATCAGATGTATCATTCATTCTTTGAAGTCAGTTAGAAAGTTAGTACTATAGTAGCCTGACAGAGGTAACATGCAAGTGCATTGTGCTCGTTATGCCAAGATGTAACTTACACTTTCAGCACACACCCCTCCCTCCCCGCGGGCCTCGGCTCACTGGGGTTTGGGAATCACCAGCTCTGGTCCACTTTCCATTGAATTGTTTTCTAAGCGCATGCAAAGTCGAAACTTCAAACCCCAGTGGGTTTGACCACATTGGGCACTAACCTGTGCTTGGACACATCCTCTCAAAAACTAGAGCTGGTCACCATTGGTCCCCAGGGCTTGGATCAGGGTCAGGGGCATAAAGATAGTTAAATTGACCCCCATGCCACAGGGCTATCACATGCAACATGATCCATTAAAAAGGAATGTTCAAAATGTATCTGGTTACTAGTTTTTAAAAATTAATATGTCTACTAAGCTATATCCCATTTAAAAAATTCTGAAGTAGATTGCTTTGATGACCAAAGGGGAAGGGGCATGTGAGACTGATTAAATCCTCTGCTACTTCATGCCACCAAGAATTAGCTTGAGTCCTGGTGAAGATCCTGGGCTTAGACAGCACAGTAACTAAAGGTCAGGGATCTCAGCGCTGACCATAACAAAGCAGTGATAGTGACTGACGTCACTTCAGTGCAACAGTGAACTTAACATACAAAGTTGTTCACACCCAGTTTGGGCACAAACCTGAAACTGTAAGAACATACCAGACTCCAGGTGAAGCAGTGGAAGACTGTAGTCAAAAAGGGAAAGATGGACAGATGTTAGAAAATGTCTCTTCTTCACTTACTGCATCTGTTCACCATCCCATGGAATCAAGAATCCAGTTTACTAAACAATCAAGCCTTACGCTTACTTGTATAATGGAACATAATATCTATTTCATCTTCCTTACACACACACGCGCACGCGCACACACAATCTGTGTAATTATCTGAAATACTTGAGGGCAATTTGGTTAAAAAAGGCACAGATAAAATACAACCACTTAAAGAAGATAAAAAAATTCAATCCCAATGCCCACTTGACAACGTTATAATGGATATTTGTAGCACAATACAAAAATGTAACAAAATTCAAGACTCCATATTAAAGATTTGGGACTCGATTTACTTAGTTTGGGCTTTATACTCTTGGAATTCAGATGGGCCAGGTGTTTAGACATGTTTAGAGCTAAGACCATTCTCTCCTATACATTTTCTGGTTTGTGCTACTTTGACTTGAAACTAATTGTATATGGTAAAGCATCTCTGGTACTTGAACAAAGAGAATTCTATACTATCTCCATGTAATTCACATCTTAGTCGCAACCATTCAAGGATGGTATATTTACAAGGTAAGAGGTTTCCGTTCATACAACTTCGCAAAATATTGCACATACGTGCTCTCCAGATATTCTGTGATAAGACAACTGGACTGAATTATTTGAATGATCTTAGAAGAAATTTTTGAGACTAATTTCCTATGCATGAGTGTATGTGAGAGGTTGTGTTCAAATGTCTTCCTACACCTCCACCTGACTACCAGCACTGCTTCTTCAATGGCATTATAACCAAACTAGTCAAAGAGGAGCTTAGCGTCTCATACAACATCTCCAGGGAGGTAGGGTTCAAAGAGTCTGGGTGATAGTTCAAAGTTCGGAGGGTAACATAATTTGAACTCTTGGGGTTGAGAAAGACCCGGATGTTGTTTAAGTTGTTCCCGAAGCATATTACAGGGCTGGTTCTAACCAGCTCGTGGTCACCATCCTGTGTCCTACAGCTATGCGCCTTCTTTAGTACTGGGCTTTCTGACACATGTTAACAATGAGCACATTCCCGTGTTTGTTTTTACCAACAGTAATAACTCATGAAAGCTAAAAAAAAAAAAAAATGGAAACTGAAAACATGGAACACTTGTCATTTATATTGCACAATCCATGATCAAAGACTCACATGCCATTCCATCATAATCAGCAAGTCCAGAATCAACTTTTTATAAAGTTTACAGTAAAAAATGGCAGTGGGAAAAGTAAATACAGAATGCATTTGTGATGGAGAAAGTATGGTGGAGGGGGAGAGATACAACAATAATTTGTAAATTATTGAAAAAGGAATAACAGTACTCCTTAAATATAGTTTTTTTTCAGGGTGTAATATAAGACTCTATTAACAACCACAATTTCAATTTTAGGTAAAATTCTCACAGGCTGGCATTAAATTGCACATTTATGGGAAACGTAATGAGAATTACGCCCTTACCATCTGTTTTCTTTGAATAATTTCCGACATTGGATTGATCCTTCTTGTCTGCCTTATTTTTACCATCTTTCAACTCACCTGCAAGTAATAAACATGACAAAAACAGACTATGTAGACACCTAAGGAGGAAGTCATAAATATCTTTAAATCTGTCGAGATTTTAAACAAAAAAAAAAGTGCAACATAATTTTAGTCACGAGGGGTACATGTCTGTGTGTAAATATCCTCTAAACCACAGATTTGGTCCTTCTGCTGGTTCATGATCTGGAAATTAAGATCGAAAGTTCCTGTTAAACAGGGTTGTACTTAAGTCAATGGTGTTTATCCTCAGGAAAGGCAATTTGACTTTATCGTTAGGCTGTGGGCTGGGGAAAAGCCTGGGTTAAATGTAAGTCATAGTGATTTAAAGCTTTTTAATTTTCATGTGCTTCAGTCTCCTTATCTGCAAAACGGGATGTTAACATCTACTTTGTAGGCATAATGATACACAGACAAATGCATTTCAGGTACTGAATGTGGTATCTGACATCACTCAATGACAGTTGTTATTATTCTAAAACAGAGTTATAAATGACATTCTAATTAAGGAGTTAAAATGTAATTTGTAAAAGTTAAAAAACACAATGTATACAAATACTGATTGAAAATGGCAAAAAAAAAAAAAACATTTAAATTTATGACGGAATGAGTCAGATAGTAAGGATGGTTCCAGAAGTATTTAAGGAACTGGGTATTTATAGGTATTTTAGAAATATGTTAAAATAATGTTTCTAGGTTAAAGACAAACCTGGTTATGTCTTACAAGTCAACAAAACCACAACCTTTGGGTTTATCTCCTCTACCAGTCAAAAATCTACAACTTAGGATATAACTTCACAGTACCTGGGCTTGAATCAAATAGTAAATAACAAAGTTAAACAAAGCCATGTTCTCCTGGAATGGGGGTCAGAAAATTATGGCCCCTGAGCATACCTGGCCTGCTATCTGGTTTTGTAAATAGAGCTTTATGGGAACCTGGCCACACTGGTTCATTTAACATTGCCTGCTTTCACATTACAATGGCAGATTTAACATTGCCTGCTTTCACATTACAATGGCAGATTTAACATTGCCTGCTTTCACATTACAATGGCAGAGTGGAATAGCTGCAAAGGAGACACACAAAGCCAGGGCGATAGCCCTTTACAGAAAAAATTTGCTGATTCCTGCCTACGATAAAGACTCCCTGGGAAGGCCTGCTCCAGGATATGCCAGTGCAGCAATGAAAAACACGGCACCCCTTTCCCCAGCATTATTCTTTTAGATCTTGAATATTTTTCTAACCAATTACTAATAGCTTTCTCCTTAGCCTGCATAAAACCAAGAATATGTTACCACTAAAATACTGGTACTTATTGAAGCAAAAAGACCCTAATAATAATTGCACCAGAAAGGAGCAAGCAGGGCCCAAGATGTATTGATCTGTTCTGTTCTCTTTGTGCCAGGCAGTGTGCTGAATGCTTCGTAGGCATCGCTCCATTAAGTTCTTGTAACAAGTCCATTATGAAGGCTCTGTTACTGCAGGGAGCCAAATCCATCAATGTTTCATTCACTAAACGATCCGTCTGCTAAATAACAAACCCACCAAATGACTGAGGATGTTTTTCATGCTCGAGTTTTTCCTTCGCCGCAGCCACCCTGTCACACGCTGGCCAGTCCCTGTGTCGAAGGCAGTGACCGCCCACCTGTGCTTCATACACTGCCCCAGCCCCACCTCTGCCCCGGACCTTGCGTGCGGGTCTCCCCCTGGTAGCGACGCTGCTCCTCTTGTCTACCGTAGACCTGGTTTAAGCCATTTCTCTGACAGTGTTTGAACAAATGGCCGATTGATCTTTCTACAAAGTGATTTTGCTTAAACTGACTTGTTAAGAATTGATGTGAAACTCGTATCCTCTCTATTTTAGGGCAATGGAATCTAAAACATAAATAGAGTCATTCACCCCGATATACACAGACGGGTCCGATTCTAGATGCCAGGCTCTCATCTACCATATTCTGCAACTTCCCGACGAAGCTCAAGATTTAGATTTCAAGCTTCTGCTGATGTTACCATTTTTAAATGCCTTTGGCCTTCAGATTTCTGAATGGTCACCTAAGACAAATTCAAGACCCGTTTTGGCTGAGATGTATTCTACAAAATAAGTACTTTTAACGAAATGTGGCAAATCCTAAGCTAAGCTAGAAGCCTGTAAACGCTCCTATTTCCTCTTATTCTCAGTCCTGAAATGGGACGCACTGGCTAGAGGGATCGAGGGGAGGGGAGGGCAGGGCACACGCAGGAGGAGTTTAGGTTAAGGATGTGGTCACTACCCTCTACCACCACCAATGGTCAAAATAGGCAAATTCCCCTGAGGTACGATGACACAGGCCATATACCGGCTCGTCCTGTTATAAGGAAGGAGAGATGGACTCAAGGATCTTGAGCCTTATAATCAAACTAGTTCCCTGCAGGAAAATTATTTTTCTTTGCTAAATGAGCCTTCAGACCCCTAATGCACTGTGTTAAGCCTTTCAGGTTGTCGTGGGTTGCAGCTTTCCCAGCTGCAGCAAGATCAGGGTGTCTTCCAGAAGCCAGCAGGAGTGGTTCCATTGCCAGATGCTAGCCAGCAGCCGCAGCAGCCTGCCTGCCTGCCCCTCGGGCAGGGCTGGGAGGCCAAGGGGGGCATGCCCTAAGGGAGACCAAAGCTCAGGAGAGAAATCTCATAATCACTGCTAGGGGAGCAAACCCCTAGAACCTCACTCAATCAGTGTCCTTCAGCTCTAGCCTGGAAATATCTTGGGCCGCCACAAAGAAGGGTGCCAGGAAAGTGACGCACACTTGTTTGATGATGTTCCTTGAACGAAGCCCATTAGGTAATTTCCCAAGGGTTGCGTATGGAGTAATCGCCGATGTGAGCTGTTATTCAATAAGCAGGGGAAACAAAAAAGCCTTCCTGTGCCGTTATAAATCATTCTAATTAGGCTGCCATAACACAGTCCCGCACCACCATTAGCCTTTCTGATTATTGCTCTAAATTGATTTCTTTCCCCCTCTCTCATTTCATACTTAGTTTTTAGGGGAAATGGTAGGCTTTCACTCACTTTGGGAAATATACACAGTTGTGAAATTCACCCAGGTTCCTGCTTTGTTTTGTTCAGGCCCCCCTAACCATCTTCGGAATAAATTACGGCCACCCCTGCCTTCTCTGGGTGTTTGTTCGTCCCCCTCTCATCGAATTTATGACCCTCTCTGTCACCAGCAGGTCCATGTTCATTGGTTTCTTTCCCTGCCCAGACCAGGCCTGGCAAACTGTGGCCCGTGGGCCAACTCTGGCCTGGTTTCCTGTGGCTCACCAACTCAGAGTGGTTTTTTGTGTTTTTAAGTGGTTAAGGGAAAGAAAGAAAAATATGTCACAACATGTGAAAATTATACAGAATTCAAATTTCAATTTCCATAAAGTTTTATGGGAACATAAAATGCTCACGTATTATCTGTGGCTGCTTTCACACTGGGATGGTAGTACTGAGTGGCAGCCACAGAGACTGCGGAGCCTGCAAAGCCTAAAATGTTTACTGTCTGGTCCTTTACAGGAAGAGCGTGCTGACCCCTGGGACACCCAGATGACAAGGCTCTCGTGGGCAGCCGCTGAGTCCCACGAGCTCTCCTATTTCTCACTCCCACCCAGCAGCACCACAACACGCGGCACGGGGAACACGCTGATTGGCGAATATAGAATTGGGACTCCCATAGATCTGAACTTGACCTGAACTCTCGTCTCCCTGGTTGCTTGACCTTACACAAGTGATCTCACTTCTCTGAATCTCAGTTTACTCCTCTGGAGGAAAAAAAATGGGAGTGAGTGTACGTACCACACAGCGTGGTTAGGATTTTTAAATGATTTAGTGTACATGAAATCTCACGAACAATGTCTGGCACATGGTAAGCATTCATTAAATGTGAGTGATATTATAATGACTGATTTTATTAAGGGAAAGACATATTTAACCCACGCTCCGAAAATGAACAAAGTAGGGAGGAAAGCTGTCTTGCTTCTCTCACCAGCCTCTCTCTACCCCTCCTTTGGGAAGGACAGACTCGTCTAGAAGGAGGGGCTGCATACACGGCTCAGCCCCGCCACCCATTTGTCCAGCGTCCGGCCCCTTCAAGAGGTGTGTGCCATGAGACGCGCCCCCTTTCTGTCACTCCAGACGCAGCCTGCTGGGTGCTGGGCGCTAGCGGGGAGTGGGGTGAGGGGCGTGTCCCAAACCTGCCTGCATCCCTGCCTTGCCCAGGTCTGGAGAGCTGAGCCCAGTTCAGAGCAGATGTCTGAAGAAGCCCATGTGCTCAGCAGACCGAGTCCATGTTTTCCGCTTCAGCTCCAGTTCTGGTGGAGCTAATATTCTGATCACTAACTTTCTGAGCCTGGTACCTCTCTCTCAGCTGATTCTGACCCTGGGAGGGGAAGAAATATCTCGCAACGCTCCCTAAAACTCCAACAGGTGTATCATAAATTCTTATTAATATGAACATATTTTCTGGACTATGATGCACCTGAGTACAAAGCAAAGTAGTTACAAGCAGTTTCTGGAATGAGGCTTCCATCCCTGATGCCTAACAAAGGTCGTGAGGGTTACCTGAGGCAACTTATACAACATCCTTGGAACTTGACATGAAATATTATCAGTAATATATGCATTAAAATACTGTTTTCTGATTACACACTTATATATGTTAATTGGAAAAATAATTGGAGAGAATTGTGCTAAGCACTTTCTATGTGTTAATCATTTACCCAGGCTGCAGAGAATAATAGCTAGAGCACCTGGCCCTAACAGGCCGGTAAGAGAATGAATATGTAAGCAGAGAACTTAAAACCGCACCTGGTATGTAATTAATAAATGCTATTTATTCTACTGCCATCATTTTGGCTATCATTATTATCAAAAGCTCACAAGGGGCCCATGCGCAACTTGCAGAGAGATTGGAGACCTAAGGAACCCAGCCACCCAGGAGCGAAAGGCACAGCTAGGACTTGAACCCAGGTATGTTTGTTTTACTGCAAAACCCCATTGCTGCAACCTGACAGTTGAAAGCTCCACAGACTGCCCTTCCTGCCCCTTCCCGGACAGGACAACCCATTCCGTGCCCCTGTATCTTAGCTCATCTTGGTCTCTCTGGCTGAGGAGTCCCTGTGTCCCACCTGACCAGAAACCTTCAGGACTTAGAAACGCAGCTCAGACATCGCCTTCTCTTGAAGCCTTCCTTGACATTTACCCCCATCCCACAATCCTCTAACCAACTGCACCCATGTCTCTTCGCATGTGTCCCTTGGGCACTCATCAGCAATGCTACTACTCTTACTTGCTCACAATGTCCTAGAACTACTTCTAAGGATGTCTACCTTCCCTATGAAATCGTGGACTTCTGGTGGCTTTTCCATTTCTAAAGCCCCAGTCCCCAGCACAGTGCTTGGTACATAGTTGTTAATCAATAAATACTTGTTGCATTAAATATAGGAAACCAGCAACTATTTGCACACTCTGGTGGTCGACCAGCTCATCCCAGTTTGCATGGAACCGCTCCAGTTTTTAAATGGAAAGTGCTGCATCCCAGGAAACCCTTTAGTCCCAGGAAAACCAGGCTGGCCAGTTAGGTCAACGCATATCCTAATTCGGCTGCGGATGGACAGACGCGCACCCCACGAGCGGGCCGTTGGCACCCTGAGGCCCGGCCCTGCTGGGGAGAGTCGATATGGGAGACTGCCCTTCCAGGTGCCCACTGGGTCACAGTGCTCAGGAGTGTGCTGGGGTCGTTCACAGTCATTTCCCCAGGGGACGGGCAGGCACTGCTCAGTCTCCAGGACAACAGGGAAGGGCCCCAAAGGAATAAATCTCCCCCACAGAGAACGGCCCAGGCTGCTTCTGACCAGGTGATGATGGAGCCACAGCCCAGGGAGGCGGGACCAGCAGCAACTAGACACAGGGCAGCTCTGCCCTGTGAGCTGTCCTCTTAGGCGGGCACTGCTGTCCACCAGCCTCCATTCATCGTGCCACTAACACCCAGATACGAGCCTTTCCCTCGGGCAGTTCCACTCACCATTCTGTTGCTTTTCCCCTGATGATTTCTCGGTTTTCGAGTTTTTCCCACGAGAGTTGTCGCTTTTGCTGGGGCGCGTCCCATTGACTTGACTCTGAGCTGCCCCCGACGTCTTCTTCTCTGCGCCGCCTGCTGCACCATCCTCTGCCTGGTTCTTGGCTTCCGCTTCCTTTTGCTTCTCCTCTGCCGCCAGGCGGGCCTTCTCCTCGGCTTCCTTCTTGGCCTTCTCCTCTGCATCCACGGCAAGATAGGCAAGGCGTGGAGAAGATAAAGAGAGGTCCCGCCATTAGGAGAATTGACTCTTTGCCCGAAACCTATTATTGGCACTGGCTATAAAATCTATTATACACTAAAATGACCTATTGTCACTACTGAGCATTTTGGGCTTATTCTCAGTGAATTCCATTCATACTGGCATTTATTTTTAAGAAATAAATAAAGTCGGGTCGTGGCTATGTTATTTCTGGAATCAGCGGGTTAGAAGAGGGGATAAGGGGAAAGTAATAATCATAGTAAGTGATAAACCACTATTGTAACCGGCATTATTAATATTATTACCATCATCATCAATAACTTCTCATCAGTGTGTCCTCTATGCCAGGTATTATGCTAAATGCTTCTCAAGGCTCATCTCCTTTCATTCTCAAAATGACCTTAGGTGGCAGCTGCTATTATTGTAACCCTCTTACAAATGTGGGGTTTAGACTCAGGGACTCAAAACTCTGGCAGAGTCCCAAGAAAAACTGGAGTTTCATGTAGGTTTGCTTGGGATCTAGAGTTTAAACATATGCGATTGATTATAAAACAAAAGGACAGGAAAAATCACCACCACTAGAATAACAGTTTCAAGTCACTGTTTGTAAAGTTAAAAGTAGAAAGAAGATAATCAAGTCTTCAAAAAATATAGTCTGCACGCCGTCCACAGATGAGAGGGGGCGTTTAGTTTGGCCACATCCTTATCTGTGTCTTCCTTCCCCTGTAATGAGAGGACATCAGACTGATGTCCCATTCGGTTGACCGTGAAAGGGCCTGGCTCTGTGTTTAATCAAAAACATACCATAACTGCAGTTGGTCAAGTATTTATGAAAACATTGGTTTATTCTTTCAACTAATATTAACTGAGCAGCTACAGTGTCCAGCACCATTTGAGGCACTGGGGACATAGGAGCACACAGACTTACTAGTGCCAGAAGACAGCTAATAAGTAAACAAATCACTAACATAGTTTCAGATGAAGAAAAGGGCTTTGCAAAAATGTTAAGCAGAGGCCCTGGCTGGGTAGCTCAGGTGGCTAGCGTGCCGTCCCGATGCGCCCAGGTTGGGGTTGGAGCTCCAGTCAGGGCACATATAAGAAAACTGACTGATGAATGCATACATAAGTCGAACAACAAATCGATGTTTCTCTCTTTCTCTCTAGAATCAATAAAGATTTAAAAAACATTAAGCAAAATAAGATGATAGAACACACCAACATGAGGGAGCTGGTCATTCAATAACCAGGGGAAATGGTGCACCAGGCCAAGGAAGTAAACAAATGTAAGGCCGGGAGGTGGGAACGCCTTTGAGGTGTTCAAGGGACATTGAGTTAGCCAGTATGGCTGCAGCAAATGTAGCAAGGGGTTCATGCCAGGTGATGTGGTCAGATGACCAAGGGCATGCATGGTTGAGATCATGTGGGGCCTCGGAGGCAGTGGAGTGGAGCTGGGTTGTAAGAAACCACGTATGTGGAGAGCACCTAACAGAGGCCATTGCTCCCTGACTCATCCCACTTAGCACATGGTTCACCCCCGAGGCCTTCCAGGCTGTGCCACCCACTTCCATTATGGAAAACATTGAATTTTTTTCCCTCTAGATGTGTTAAAAATATTCTACACCTCACCATCAGGGGTCCCCATTATTTCCCTTGGTTCATCTTTGTCCTGGCAAAAGCTGACTTTCATAAACAACAAGTTTGTTTTTAATCTGATGGCACCAGAGTGGTTAGGCCTGGGATCACGTTTCCCTCTGTCTTAGCCACTAAAGAGCACAAGGCTGCATCTGGCACAGGGGCGCATGCGCACGGGCTTTGTAGAGCCTCACTCTGTGGGTGTCCGTAACCTCAGGCTTCAGTTTTACTTCTCCTGCTCTTACACATGCCTGGCTCAGGTGTCCTCCTTAACACACCATAATATTTTCATCCATCCTTTCATTGATCCATCCACCCATCCAAACTCATGCCCTGGCCTCACCCCAGAAAAAACAAGTAAGATTCTAGAGGGAGAAGAGCAAAACTAGGACATTGGAAATGCTCTCCAGATGATTCTAATACACGATCAGGGTAACTAAGCACTGATTTAAATTTAGATGATTGCCATTTGATATTTTGTGACATTCTACCTTCCCAACAAGATGTATTTTTAATTTACAGTGAAAAGGTAAAGAAAGATTTCTTTACAAAATAACAATTATGTGCATATATTGTATAATATGTCTTCTGACTTCTACAGAGGGTAAAAGAATGGACTTGCAGGAGAAGAGGGTGAGCTGGCATGCTCTGTAAATTGCAGGGTCACAGAAGGCCTGCTAGAATGTTCATCCGGACTTCCTCTCACTGTTCTGTAGTGCCCAGAGGACAAAGGTCCAATGTCATCTCCACCCCTGGATTCCCAGTGCCTGGCACAGCAGCCAGCCCATCGCAGATGCTCATGGGGCATTTGTTGACTAAATGAAATGTACACAGTGGGTGGGATTCACCCCCTCAGCCAGCGAGCCTGACTTGTGCATACTCCATCGTCAGCAGTCTAGGCTGGTGTAAAGTACAGACGGCACACAAACGTCAAGGCCTGTCCTGTTAAGACTTTGACAAGTGTTGGTTCCTTAACCACTTATGTAGGTGAGCCAAAAAAAATGACTGTTCTTACTATGCAGAAAGGGAAACTTAGGCATGGGGGAAGAGAATCCATTCAGAGACAGGCTTCAGATAAAATAATTTATACACAGAACCACCACTGAATCTGTGGCAAACTTTCAACATGCAAAATATCCACACGTTAAAAATAATTATGATTAAAAACTGAAGATGTTAAAGTTTGGTTTGCTGCAAAAGAGCATAAAATATTATCTGAGCAAGAGAAATTCATTTGACAACTGAGTCAGACCAATTTTCTATGGGAAATCTAGCAAAAATATGAAATCTAGGCAGGGGGCACGTTTCAGAAACACAGCTGTTTTTGCTCAACTGCAGCTGACGGCAGGCAATTAATATTTAAATTAACGAGTGGTAGCTCTCAGGACACCATAACTAACTGTGTGGTCCCTTTCCCTGCAACAATCGCGCTCCACGCGGGTAGCTCTGTGTTGCCCTTCACATTCTCCACTTCCATCTCTTCCTCCTATTTCTGAAATATCTAATATTAGTGTGATCAGCCATCAGCACCCAACGTGGTACCACTCAAAATAAGTAGACGAAAACAAGTGTACACCTCAATAAGAAAAAAGAAATTAAATCAACAGGAGACAGGTCTGTGCCACTGTAATCAGATTCCCTTATACTTCCAGGGCAAAGTTCTTAATATACACAAAATTTTTCTCCAATAAGAAAAAGTCAGTGAGAGCACAGTTAATTTGTATATGCTAACAGATTTCAGTGATCGTGTATGCACAGAGAATTAAATTTTCGGGTCTTGGATTTACCATCCTTGGCACTCCCAGGCTTCCACACAAGCAGAGGGCAAACATGTAGTTCAACCCCATTTCAGATTCTCTGGGATGTGACTCCTTATGAAATGGTCAAAAGCAACCAGCTGAAGAGTTAAAGTAGAGCAGAGCCCTCAGCGTCCATAAATTACAACCCTCCTGAGAGCCACTGCCAACCCACACCGAATGTCTGTGCAGTTTTGGAGAAGTACATTGATTTCTTCATTTAATCTGCCTTTCTGAATAACGATATGTAGGTGCTTGGATAAAATAGTATTGGGCAAGTTATCCCTTGATATAATTTTCTGAAATGACTACTTAAACTATTTACAGGCAGGAAGAGAGAGAAAGAAAAAGAGAGATACTACTAACTGAAAAAAATAACCAAAATTCTATACGAATTTTGAGTTCTCATTTATATATAATGACAACAGAAAGGTACTTCTAGACATCTAAGGACTCAGGAGGTGTTCCTAGGTCCCTTCTAAAAGTAGTAGCCAAAGACATGCTCCAGCTGACAGAAAAATTCAGCATTAAAAACTTAAGAATGAGGAAAATATGTTAACACTATTCAATAAAAATAGTAAATCTTGGTGTTTAAAAATAATTGTTGCCAAGCTAGAAATAAAACTTGATGCAAATATTAAAAATAAGATTAAATCATAAGTTAACTGTAATATAATGATTTACTTATAATCACCTAGATTGGAAATCTCATACTATTTCAATAAAAATTAGTGAATATGGAGAAAATAATTAAAAATTCAATACATTTCTCAGCATTTGAAAGGAGTATCACTACACATTATTTGATATTTATATTGATCAAAATATAATTCAATAAGATATATAATGGTAATTTCTGGTAAAACAGAAATAGGATGTATTTTAAAAGACCATAAACAAAGTTAAAAGGCATATGGCAAATGGGTAGGGCAGGAACTGCAAGATATTTTGTCAACTGAAGAATTACCATCCTTAATGTGTAAAGAGTTATTATGAATCAATAATAAAAATACTAACATCTTAATAGGAAATATGAAGGGGGAAATACAGGAGAATAGGTACACTCACTATGCTTCTACTGGGAGGCATATGTTTAGAAAAAACTTTCTGAGGAAAATGTGCTAATAGATATCAAGCTTTAAATTTTTTTCATTTACTGTGACAAAATAATTCCATGCGTAGAAATTTATCCTAGACAAATAATCAGAGGTAGGCTCAGAGACTTTTGAATTTGCATGTTCATGACGATGTTATATACAATATTAAAGAGCTGAAAACAAATGTTCAGTAGAGGAATGATTCATCTATTTATATAAATGCATGGTAAATCAAATAAAAAAGAATCACATCAGAATTTCAACAAGAGTTATATTTGGCTAGAGAGATTGTGATTTTTATTTTTTCTATATATTTTTTATTTGTATTTCAGCATTATAACCTAAACATAAATTATTCTTACACCAGAAAAAAAAAGGTTTAAAAAGTATTAAATATTGAATGGAAAATTATCAACATTGATCAGACCTGCAAAGTGTTATACCTATACATGTTTGTTTGGAAATAATGAATTTTCAGCTCAAGGAACTATAAAAAAATATTGATTTAATCTTTCCTAATAACTATGGGTTCTGGCCTACCTAGCTTTGTAAATCAGATTGATTAATAAAATCAAGACTTTAGATCCGATCCCCTTCCCAATCAGTTTAATAACAACTTATGTTCAAGTGCCCCACGCAGGGCAGCTTTTGTGAAATCCAAGTTCTCTAAAAAAAGAACAATGAGCAAAACGGCCAGGGATCAGCTAATCAAACTGATCACTAACAGGAAACCAGATGCAAACTGGTGTTTCTTAACACAAGTCCACCATCCACCAGCATTGCTGGGAGGCTGAAATGTCCTGCAGTATCAGTTATAGGTGGGTGTTTTCCCCCTGCCTGAACTTTGCATTCGACTTTCCTCCCCACTTCCAGGCTCCAGCCTCAGGCAGGCTCTGGCCTCCACGCTTCACGTACGCGTATAGTATTTCTGTCCTTTGTATCAGCTCTGTGATGGGTATGATCATCCCCCAAATGGAATTTTCACGAAGAACCTACCTACATTTGCCAAAGAACACAAGTGAGTGGGGATTCAGTTCTCCCTCACCCCACTGACTGGAGTTGCTTTGATAACCAAAGGATCCTCCCACAAAACATACATAACCCAGGCTCTGCCTATCCCCTTTCCCCTTTCCCCTGCTCCCTGTTTCTAAATATTGCACAACACCTTCCTCCAGCCTCCAGCCCAGGCATCCTGCAAGTCCTGGCTACCAGGTGCCTTCCTCAACACCCCAAGCAGGATTAGGGACAAGGTAAAATCACATAAGCATATCTCTATCAGCACACCTAATGGATTTAAGAATTATTAGCTGTTTTTGTACCTGTCCTTTTTAAAGGGCCAGTTTTCCCCTGGTAAAGAAACTGTCTACTGCTCCCCCAGGTAATTAGTTGCAGGAGGTAATTTAGTAAGCCAGATAATTGCAAACAAATGACTTTGAAGTACCTCTTTAAATTGGGTGTTGTCGGGTGTTGGGTTTTCCAGTGTAATGAGTGTAATGGATGACAAGCAAGTGCTTCCTCACTCAGGGCGGCTGCCATCACCCCTGGCAGAGCCTGGGCTGGGAGAATAGGCTGTCAGAGACTCCTTTTAAAATACAGAAGAGGCATTGGTTCCTCCAGAGCTTAGGGTGTAACATTTGTTCTGAAATGATGAGGACCCAACGATGCCATAAAACCATCATAAATATAAGCCCATTGTCTGACCTGAAACAAGCAGCCACGTGGAGAGGACTTCGTGGATAAGTCACAGTGGTTGGCCTTTGATCACTCCCACTCCTGGTGAGGTCTCTGCTCTCCCACACTAGCAGCAGCCCCCAATGTCCCATGTCCAAGGGACCGAGACAGCCAAAGCATGCTCCGCCAGCCCCTACCCCGCTTCTCCCCTGTTGTGGGGACACTGGGAGATGAAAGTGTGGAACATCGTGTTTGGGGATAAAACCCGCCGTGCCTGCACTGAAGGTCTCCCGGGGCTCGTGGGTAAGGTGATGAGCGCGAGACCTTGACTGAGCTGCCATTCTTCCTTTGGAAGAAACTGTAGTGATGTCCCCTCCCCCCGGAGACTGTGAGCTTTGATGACAAGGATGTCTATTCCTCATCTCCTTCACTCCTGGCACAGAACCTGGCACACAGTGGGCGCTCGACAGATGTTAGCAAAAGGCGACTGCTGTTGAAGGCTCGCCCCCACAAATCCATTGGGATCAGCCCCTTCGCTGAGTGCCAAGAGCCATCCATGTCCCTGGAATCGGACATCGTGGCTTCTCACACTTTACCTCGGGGATGCGTCCTCGCCCAGACTACAGTGCGAGTGTATAGTGTGTGCTGATCCTGCAGTGCCTGCTCCCCAAATGCAAGCACACGCATGTGAATCTCAGCTTTCCAGAAACACAGAGGACAGTCATTGTTCTGTGTGTTGTACTGAGTCACGACTTTTCTGATCTGAATTTTGATCATGTTTACTCGAGCCAATTACCATTCACGTGCAAGTTACCTTCATCCAGAGGATCGGTCTGAGTAGTGAGAAGGGAAACCGTGAACACGGCAGGAAGATCAAAATGCGTGTAAGAAAACTACAACTCCTTCTGTCCCCACACAGGCTGAGGCGGCTATTGCATAGGTTTTGCTTAAATAAAAAGACGAATTAAAGGCCTCCTAATTGTGCTGCATCATGTGGACTGAGAATGGCATGATGGTCTAGCAGAAACCGACAAAGAGCAACACTCAAGAAGAGTTTGGTCACGGAGCACAAAGGTCACGTGCGGAGGTCTGCATCGTTCTAACATGCATCAAGTTTTAGATCTACTGATGGTAAAAAGAAAATAGATGCTTTTTTGCAAATTGGTGGTTACAGAATAGTCACAGGGATATAAAGTACAGCATAGGGGATATAGTCAATAATATTGTAATTACATATGGTGCTGGAGGTGCTAGACTTTTCAGGGGATCACTTGGTAAATTACGTAACTGTCTCATTACTATGCCATACATCTGAAACCCAACATAAAACAATACTTAATGTCAACTGTAATTGAAAACTAAAATTTGAAAAAGAGGGTAGATGCTACCATTCAGCAATCTGAATCTCTATCCCAAGATTCCACGTCATGTGCAGCACCTATAAATCAGTGTGGCGCTGCCTTGTGCTACCAGTGGGTGCTGAGTGGTCTGGACAGGCCCGCTGGACAGGTTACCTTTGGGCACCTTGGCCCTCCATCGCTCCCGATTGACGTGCACGACCTCAGTCCACGTGGTTTTAAAGTTCTTACAGTCAACAGGGATGACGGAATTGTTGATTGGGGTACTTCCTTCAGAGCCAGCGCTCTTGACACCCGATCGTTTTGCATCTGCTGAACTGAGGCTGTTCAAACTGGGGGACAAAAGAAAAATCACCCACAAAAAATTAATCTGGTTAGATGGATAGGAAGGGGAGGGTTAGTGTTTGAAAAACGGATGCCCGTGGTTAACACTCAACAAGTTATGGCCCTGAAATTCCTGGGTCCTGAGGTTTGTAATTCTTATTTTCCACGTGACAGGTGGGCAATTCTGTATTTTCAGCAAGAAAAGAAAATCAATACTTCAGCCTCCTGAGTATCACTACTCCCCATATTTTTCTGTTGCTCCATATCCTCTTTTTCAATATGACTGGAATTCCCTACATGATTTTTCTGCCCTCGATCTTCTGCAATTAAATAGTTTGAACTTGAGCTTCAACTTGGTTCCACATGTCATCCACCTGCTTCGGCACTGACTACTATTACGAGGTACTCAGCCACTTAGTCCTATTTCTCTCCAGCCCTGTCTCTCCCTGTACTTGAGTGCTTCTAATCCCAGGATCCTCAAGGCCAAGGAAAGGCGACTTCCTATGTTCCTGGGGGGGGACAGGGAGGCAGAGGCAGCTTGGAGGCCAGTCATGCAAGAGGCCTTTTTTCTTAATAGCAATAATACTTTATGCTTTAAACATGGGCAACTTTGCAAAAGTAGAAATTGCCATCCCTCAGGGTAACTTTAAAGAAAAGTATCACACACTTCCAGGTGGCTAAAGTACTGACTGGCCCGAACGTGAAGCCACTGAGTGACACCTAAGGCTGACTCGATGAGCAGAGTACATTTCAGCCCCATGCAGGCAGAGCCATGGGGCTGTGGGGCTCCAGCAGGGGGCCCCGTCCTCCCTGTTAGCAGCCTTGCCTGGGTCCCTCCACCCTGAGCATCCCGGGGCCCCACGGTCCTGACATTGCTCTTGCCTTCCCATCTCCCTGTTTACTCCTCTTTGCTCACTTTTCTTCTCTTTTTTCTTTTCAGTCCATTTCTTTCCTTTCTCCTGTATGACACAGGCCAAGATTTTGCATGGACAAGGAGGAGGGGTTAGTGATACTAGTAATGAAGACCAAGTGCTCTGTGCTGGACTTGGTTATAAAGACTTTATAACTCATTCAATCCTCCTTGCCAGCTCTAAGTATGATAGTCCATGTTTTCTCAGATGAGGAAACTAAGGCAACGTGCCTGTAATTGCACAACTAATAGGTAATCGGATCAGGATGTTTAAACCTGCCAGGGTTGGAGACAGAATGAGTGAAAGGGAGAGATGCACACTTAGATACCTGCCAATCATAATTCAGACCATGGTCGCCCCCTTACGGACCAGCCCGGAGAGTAGAAATGGTGTAACTTCAGTTCCTCTGAGGGAAGGATGAGGCAGACATCTCTCTTATAAGAAGGAGGTAGGGTAAACATCATTGGCATACACCCCCATCCCTTCCAAAAGAATTCTATCCTCATGGACAGGCCAACATGGCCCCCAGCCTTCAAGTTTCTCCACTGACCTTGAACGTCTCTGTCCTGTTCCACCAGCTTGGGAGGTTTCATCAATTAATGGATTCACGATCTTTTCAGTCATGTCTGTGAGCACAGTGAAGGTGGGTTCCACAATGAAATCGATAAAGCCTGCAGAGAAACAGCAATGCTCCTGAGAGATGACAGACTACGGTGGGCCTTTCCATATTTTCCCAGGGAAACGGATGCATCTTATTTTTTAAAATTCTTCTACATAGGAGCTCCAGATCAGATCAGGAGAGAATAGGTTGGTCTAATTCATTTAATATATTCCTTCATTTGAATATCGTGACTCCGCTCCATTTCTCCTACAGAATTTTCTAATGATTCTTTAGTAGATAGTTCAATGAAGTGCTTAAAAACACGGATTCAACATCCCACATGCAACAAATGTTCTGGTAGGCACTACGTATACCGTAACGTGACTGCACCCAGTTTACAGGAGAGATTAAATGAGCACAAAAGGGACCACTCAAGTCTATATGGAAAGAAATCAAGGAAAAGCCCAAATAAAGGTCCCTGGCAAGGTAAGGCAGGGAGGACGTTTTCCTTCCCAGGGAAAGGGCTGCGAACAGCTTTACGGAGGTTGTGATGTTTGAGCTGAGCCCTCAGGCTCAGGGAAGAGGGTGGGGTAACCAAAGGGAGGAGGATGGGAGAAACTGCAGGATGTGTCTGAGGAATGGCTGGCGCTTAGAGATCCCGTTGGAGTTGGGTGGGTAGGGAGAGCCTGGGAGGGCAGGTGGTCATCCACTCAGCAGTGTCTGGCTAAGGGGTCGGGACTTCGGTGGGCAACAGAAGCCCCTCGAGATGTTTGGCCAGCAGCATAATAAGATTTTTAAAATGTCCTTCGGGAAAATTAATCTGGCGAGATGAATGGGAAGGGAGAAAGCAGAAGGGGCTGAGGCTCGGAAAGTCATTTTAGAAGAAGTTGCAGTGGCTCTGAGGAAAGGTAAGGGAGGCGGGACCCAGTCCCATTATAAGTGGGAATTTGAGACGCACAGATACACGCACAGCCGTCAGGGGTGGGTACCGCCTCTGGGTGGGATCTGTCGGAGACCCCCTACCGCAAAGCAAAGAGGACATGATGACGGGGGAGTATGCAGCTGGGGAGAAAGACGGTGGGCTCAGTTTGAGGTCGGCCGGCTTTGAGGCACAGGGGGCACATCTGGATGAGAGGGGCAAAGAGCTGGAAGAAACAGAGTTGGAAACTGGGTGAGGGGTCAGATCTGGAGCTGTACCTTTGAGCGCTCACCACGCTGGGGAGATGGGATAGTTCATGTTGGGCTACAATGACCGCCTAACAGCTCAAAAATACCCGTGTGTTCTGTGACACATCAGGAGACAATATATGTCCTGGAACTCCTGGTGGTAATTCATTACACAGCCACATGAAATGTGGATGGAAATGAAATACCAATCCAAGGGGACACAGTGTCAGAACTGTACAGATGCTTATTTGGTTTCCACAATGACTGAGGTGGAGGTGACTCTGGCATCGAGTGCCCAGCAGTGAAGACTGCTAAGTTCGACAATGTAACTGGCAAAACAAGAATTGTCTCAAATACCCTTAGCATCTTGATGAAGAAACACTGAGAGTCAAATTTGAATTGTACTTAATTGCAGTATCATTTGAAGCTGAAACAGTATTTGCTGCCACCATTTCACTGTTTTTCTTCTTACAAGTTAGCCTCAACGTAGCCAAACCGGAATGAACTCATTAGCTTTCCCTCCAAATCCTTGTAGATGGTACCATGGTCCATACACTTAATCTAACTTGCTGCCTTCACCTTGGCTTTGCATACAGCCGAACCCATAATGTCATGTACGCCACCTCTCTCCTGGGGAGTCCAGTGCCGCCTTAGTTCTGACTCTCCTCGTCTCTTCTCGGTCACCCTACAGGAGGTGCCCCATTGGCGTCCCCGACCCTGGTCGTACACACAACCCTCCAACTCGTCCTCCACACCACTGACAGAGAAAGCTTTCTAAAACAGGGGTTGGCAAACCTTTTCTATAAAGGTCTCGGTAGTAAATATTTTAGGTTTTATGGGCCATATCTAAGACGACTCCCTCTCTCTGCCACTGTCTACCAAAAGCAGCCATCGACAATATACAAATGAAAGAGTTTAGCTGTGTTACAATAAAAATTCATTTACAAGACCAAGCAGTGGGCCAGATTTAGCCCATCCATTTATGTAATTTTTAGACTTACTTAAAATGCTTTAGACATAGCCTCACTTCCCATGGGGAAGTATAAAGAACATACCATTCTTCATGTAATCTGTAGTCTGGGCCTGATTTTTTTCTACAAACATGTTCCTCACCTCATTCTACTCTCTACCCACTATTCCAGCCATAGGGAGCTGTTGGTAATTCCCAGGCTGTACTAGACTGTTGAAATTGCCCTGCTCGGTGTATGCTAGTCCTTTGTCTGAGATGCCCTTACAGACACCCCTAACCTCCCCTCACGCACGTCCCCATTTGCCTAGCCACTGCCTACATATCTCTTAGGACTCAGCTCAAGTATTGCTCCTCAACAAGTCCTTCTGGGTCTCACAGTTCACACACTCTGTTTTGTACCCAATTAAACAACGTACAAAACTCTGCTCTAACTCTAGAACACTCCAACAGATTTGGTTTCCTAATATCTCACCCACAACCCTACATGGGTTCCATGTCTTTGAGAGCAGGTACCATGTATAATGTCTTTGTGTTCATAACATCTGTCATAGTGCCTAGCAGTGCCCTGTAGGTAACAGGGACTCGATGTTATTATTATGGACAAAGAAAAAGTACTCAAAACACAAGTAGAAAAACATCAAATCCTTGTTGAATGTATTTTTTTAATTCCAGACTGCCCTAAGGAGACACTGGGACACTCTGTCATATCTCAGGGGTTTTATAATGCACATCTATTGTGGTTATTAGTGGTGCGAAAGTTATCCTCATCAAAAACAGAAAGGGTGCTGAAAAGTTTTTAGGAAGGAAGGAGGGGAGGGAAGAAGGGAGAAAAGGAAGGAGGGAGGGAGGAGAAGGCATTTAAAAAGAGCCACTCCTTGAAGCAAGGTCCTGCAGGAAATGGGGTTGCCCTGGAAACGGCAGGAGGCAGCATCCCTGAGAAATACCATGGAGACTTCCGACACTGCATGGGAAAAGGGCTTCCTGCTAGTGATTCTTGTCATTGCCTTGGGAAGTTGAGGCCTCTTTTAATCTTGACAGAAAATGATGGAGAGAGCCATGTCCCTGTCTAGTCCTCCCATGAACCAGCCGCATTCCAGGGGGAAGGATGGGGAGGGCAGTCCCGTCGACCCCTCCAAGCCAGGAGCACAGAGCAGCAGAATGGAGACAGGTTCCCAGCCAGAGGGTCCCTGGGAGCCTCTGGCCTTAGGTCCAGATGCCCTCTCTGCTTTCTCCTTCCAGCCAGAGCCTGGCAAACACGTACCTACTTGTGACTGAGCAACCATGGTGGACTTCCGGTCACACAGAGGTGAAAAAGGCAGCCCCAACTCTGCTTCTCTGTCACCCTAGAAAAAAACAGGGGGCCACAGTCAATTAAGAACAGCAGGCTGAGCCACCCAGATTTTATTTAGCAACTTCAGCTACCACAACGGCCAATGGCCTTTATTTTAATCATTACATGCAGTAAGTCCTTACGGAGCTTGCTTCTCTGAACAAAAGACACCAAGAGGCCGAAGCGTTCCTGGGTTCGGTCATTCCACCCAACTGCAACGACGCACACGGTGGCGTAGAACACGCCTCACCGGGCGGCGACAGGTCCCCAAGGAAGGGAAGAAAAGCAACATGCCCTGTGGCCTATAGCCAACCCGCAGTCAGAATCACGGGGTGTTTCCCAGTCATCTTGTGTTGACATCTGTGGCCTTTCTGGAGCCAGGGACGCCCTTCCTGCTATGGGCACCGTTCAAGACTCAGGTTCAAACGGCCTGACTGAATCTCCCCTCTGTGTGCTACCAAAAACCTGACACAGCGGGGTACATGCTCCTGGGCTCTTAACTGCAGGGCACAGGCCACCGTGAAACGTGGCCCAAACAGGCAGGGTGGTAACTGATTGCTTGTGCTTATCCAGGGAGATAATAGCAAAACATGATTTGCAATCTCACCAAAAAGCGTCGCCATAATGAGCAAGGGCTTTGGAAAAGTGTACGTAATGGTGGAGGTGGTTTTTAAAAACCTGAACCAGAAGCTCAACACTTCAATCACACACTCTGAGGCAAGGGAACCTACATCACCCTCTAAGAGCAGCGACATTGTGTTGATTCATTTTACTATGAGAGAATCTGCTCAGATTAACGGGTACTGACTTGGGCCTGAATCTGGCCTTCCCCCCGCCAGCTGTGTGGTCAAAGGAAGCTGCCTTTCTCTCTCTACACTTCAGTTTTATGATTTACAAAATGTGGAATAATAACCTCTACCTCATCGGGTTATGATGAGAATGAAACGAGAAAATGTATGCAAATAAATAAAAAGAACTATGGTTGTTTCCCAAGGGGTATCTCTAATATGTAAGCCAAGAATGAGAAACACTGAGTGAATTTATCACATCGAACAGGCTCTGATTATAACAAAAATCACCAATAAATTCATAAATAAAGAGCAGTAACAGCTTCGTTCAAAAACCAGGCCTAGTTCAAAAACAATGCTTCTTCCTTCTAAGGCAGGTTACCAAAGAGAGAGAATGCTAGTTTACACACACATCTATCGAAAGGAAGGAAAAGGAAAGGGTGTCTGCGGAAACTGAATGGTGGGGCCACAGTGGGTGCTGGAGACATCCAAGGGTCTCAGCAACAGGCCTGCAGTGGCTCAGTGCCTTCCGCACCCTTCCCCGTACAGATGCCCACGGGACACAGTGGCTCCTGTTTCCGAGTGTGCCTTGCAGAAGGCTGCGCCCTCTCCCCAGTGGCGTGATAAAAATTATTTACTTCCGAGCTATCTCTGCTTGAGCAGTGTGAACAGACAGAAGAATATTTACAACATACATTGTAGTTGTGCAGGTGGTTTACTGGCATAGCTCAGCCTACCCTTACTCCCTACGGAGCAGGAATACAAGTTGTTTTGTGGGTGCATTTTAGTGGGTGTGGTTTAGAAGAAGAGGTGGTGAACGCTAACCACTTGACTATTAAGATGTAAGCATTTTTTTGAGTGTGAGAAGCTGTGTCCTTCTTTTTAATTTTATTGAATTTATTAGGGTGACATTAGTTAATAAAATTATATAGGTTTCAAGGGAACAATTCTATAACACATCATCTGTAGATCGTATTGTGTGTTCCCCACCCCAAGTCAAGTCTCCTTCCATCACCATTTATCTCCCCTTTACCCACTTCTACTTTCCCTTCACCCCCCTTTCCTTCTAGCATTAATTTGGATTTTATTACTGAAAAAGCGTATGTTAAACAGCTTATCCTACCAACTTGCCCACACCCACATCTACATAACACATACATCTTGGCATTTCATTGAGCTGAGTACCTTCGACTATTGAAAGCCTATTCTCAAGTAGTGGTCATTGAATTTCCTTTGGAGGACAGATACATTCATGAATTAGGAAAAAAATGTGGAAATTAATATGAAAAAATGTACTTCTACAGGTAAATCCAACTGATTGATACAATATTTTATGACCCTATAACCGCTGACCTTTGTGGAATTATTCATACACTTCTCTCTTTACTAAAGAGGTCAATATCTTTGACCCATGATAGATCAACTTTTTAAATGCTATGTAAAATACCTAAATGACGTAATTAATAAGGTAAATGTTCCTGGTGTTTTTTTGAATTTTATACTCCACAAGTAAGAAATAAATCTACTTTTCAAAAGCCATGTACATTCACAAAAATTGATTGCACAGTAGGCAACAAACAAACCTCACAATAATATTCAAATAATGAAAAATTCTTTGATCAAATTTCAGTAAGTTACAAAGTAATTGTAAAACTAGAAAGTAAAATAACCTACCACTGGAAAATTATATAAACAAACACTTCTGTCTGAAGCAACTCTTGGGTAAAAAAAAAAAGTCTAAACCAAGATTACAGAATATTTAGACAAGAATAATTATGAACATACTGCATATCAAAACATCCGAGATTCATGATAAGAAAAAGACAAACTCCTAGCCTTATATTTTCTAATATTAAACAGGTAAAATACAAATAAATGAATTGAGCATTCAACTCAGGGACTCAGCAAAAGAACAAAATATACTCAAGCAGAAGAAATGAATAAAGAAAAAAGAAAACATGAATTAAGTCAATATCAAAAGAAAAAAGAAACAATAAAATAATTAGCTAACTTCAGAGAGAACAAAGGGAAAAAACACTAATATATGAGATGTGAAATAAGAGTGTGAAAATAACCACAGAAAAAGAGGAAATTCAAAGAATTACAGGAGAAGTTTGCAAAATATAAAAACATCCAGCAATGTAGTGGAAATGAACCTCAAGACTTTTACAACATGTATCTACCAAAAGGCAAACTTATACTTCTTTAAAGTCAATATTTCATTGAAAAGCACCTGCGGCAGTGGCTTGGATTTTGTAAAATATGGTTATAAAATTAAAGATGTAACTTCCTTTTTCAGTAAAGCCTGGAAGGTCTGGTATCAGCACTGAGGCTATGCCCTTATTTTGAAATATAACCCAACTTCCAAATGTAGTTTTTTCAAAGATTTTAAGGTCCCATTGAGATTTCCCATTTCAACTGTCCAATTTAAAATCTATTGTTAAGAGTGAAGCAACATTTCTCCCACATGGATCACTTACAATGGCTTATGACATCTGGGTTCAAATAGAAGCCAATAAAAATAATTTACTGAATGATAATTACTAAAAAATAGTTCCAGTCCAGTGAGCTAACATTCCATTCCCAACAGGCTGGAAATTCAATATGGTTCTTTTCACATTGCCTCTAGCACATTTTCATTCAACTCAAGCATATGTGTTTGCGAACAAGGTTTCATTTATGGGGGGAAAAAGTGTTCACATATTTAAGTACTTTCTCATATTCACCCTCTCACAATTAAAAAAAGAAATTGCTTCAATGCCTCAAACTTATATGAGTGACCTGTGATCTAACTTGGCTGCACACGATGCTCTTAGCTATAGGGACGTCTCTGTAAAGCAGGACCGAAGAAAGCATATGACAAGAGGGGTGGGTATTTGGAGGAAATACTTTCACTAACGCTAGGAAAATAGCTTCTGGAAAAATAGCTCGTTAGCCCTCGATTAAGGATGAATTTGCAGAGTCATTTTTGCACCTACACCAGAGCTATACCTGTACTTTTCTAGTTCCTCCCACACCATTGGGTCCCCCTCGAGGGCTGCTCCGCGAGGCCGAGCCCTGACTTGGCAAGGGCGCAACAGCCACGTCCTGAATAGGGTGCCTACTGCTGCATTCACGTAACACTGTAGGGGTGTGTGTGCATGTTGATATGCACCATAGGACAAAATGAAGAAAATGTAGAACATTTCATGCTGGAAGGACCCTAAGAAAACATCTAGTCCAATCTTCCTTTAAGTTCTACCAAACACACCCCCCTCAAAAATCCCCCAAAGATTACAGATAAGACCACTGGGAACTAGAGGAATGATTTAGTTAGTCCCAAGCCACAGACCAAATGAAATAAAAACTCCAATAAAAGGCCTTCTGGACTTGAACACGCTGTTAACTCTAGTCCCACCTCATTACCAGATCCTGTGCACAACCTCAGAAGAAGAGAAACACACAGAGGCCATCTACATCTCTCCATTCAAACTACAGTCAGTAGAATAAGAGTAATTCCCTTCCAGACCTCTGAGTGACCAGTGACCAAGCCCATCTCCTGTTAGTTTCGGAGATGAGGTTGAGACCAGTGTTAATAAGTAGTGTTCTATGGAATCTCAGAGGCCTCTGAATTCATGGTGTAAATCTCCCTTCTTAACTCAGAAAGAATTAACCAAATTAGCAGTATTAACTTGAGTTAACTATAATTTAGATCCACAATCTACATGACATATTGCCTTTGCAGACCACCCCCCCCCCACCTAAAAAAAAAAAGGTGCTACAATAAATCTAACTGGAATTGACCTCCCAGGGTGATCCCATCCTAAATTCCTATCTGGGCAGGTGTTGGTGGCAGTCACGCCCCAGGCCTATAGCTTCTTTAGTAAAAGGTTCATCTTTGCCTGAAGCAAGCCCTGTCTACTGTTTCTGTGCATCTAGGTTCACACACCTTTGAAATGCCCCCTTTTTGGGCCCTTCGTAATATAACCGCCCTCAAGATTGCACATAATCTTATAAATTAGCCTGTAATCCAATGCTCTCCTTGCTTTCTCCCACCTTCATGCAATCTTCTTTAACTTCCTTCCTCCTTAATTCCAAATGTATATAAGAAACTGCAAAACTGTCATTTTCCGGAGCGTTTGAGATTTGCTCCTGGCAACTGTTACCGGGTTGGCTCAAAAAAAAACTCCTCTAAAAATTTTCTACAGGTTTGGATGTTTTTACATCAACACCTTTAACCTCAGGACCTCACATCTCAAAGCAGAGGTTTGAATGACAACTGCTCTTGAGAAGACATCCATCTCAGTGCTACACATTTCTATTTCTCTACTTCTTGTACCTTTTAAAAAATGTTTTAAAGCAACGTGTACCCATAAAAGACTCTGGCTGTTCTTGCTGAAAACAATGTCCTGTGTCTCAGGGTGTAATAAATTTAAATATAATGGGAACAGTGGCTTTTGGTAATTTCCTGACCCCAAAATACCACACCTGGCTTTGGAAGTTGACAACATGGCTTGCCGGTTTGAAAGAAAGAACGAACCCAACCAATTAGAACAGTTAAAGACAAACATCTTAACCCCTCACGGTAATGCTACACTGGTCATCACTTGGCCACCTCATTAAAAAAATAAGGAAATAAAAGGGCTCTTCAGATGACATTCTGACAAAAGACTGCCACAAGGAAATGCTCCCCCCAACCAAAAACAAAAAACAAACAAAAAAAAACCAAAAAAAACCCCACAACAGTTTAGGATAGAAATACCATAATGTTCTGAGAGTCAGAACTTAAGTAAAATTCCAACATCTCACACACACACAGATCTGCAAGCCCTCCCTCCCCAGAGAAAACCTCTGCGACCCCAATAGTCCTTATCCCAGCATCTCTGAAACACAGAATCAGAAACTGTCCAGCATTGAAAGCCCAGGGGCAGCCCCCACATGGTACCTGTCTGAAGAATTCCTCCAGGAGCAGCATGGTCCAGCGATGGTGGAGCTCCCATGCTTTTGCTGGGTGGCTAATGTCTGCCGTGTGCAACATCAGGGATAAAGCTTTTGGCTTTTCAATCCTGTAAACCCAAAGGAACCAAACACATGATGACCACTCTCTTAGAACCTCGATAACGGCTTCTCTTACAAAGCATTTATTTTTTTAATCCCTTCCCTTCTCCCGTCTCAACCCCACGTCGGCTGGGGAAAAGGTGTCACATCCTCCTCCTCCTGGATCAGTCACAGCTAGGTCTCCAGGTTTATGGAGCCGGACACCTCAAAATCGGACTCAAAACTATTTCTGGAATAACTGCATCATTCAAACAGACAAAAATCCCAGCTCATTGCTTTCCATGTTGCCTCTGCCTTGAGTAGATCTTTGATAATTTAGTTTCCTGCAGGGAAATATTCTCAATTCTTATTGGGGCCCAATATCACCGGCCCTTTATTCATTTCGGCCCTGATGAGAGTCCATCTGTGACGCGTACAATTCTCACATTCTCTCCACACATCCCCGCCCCGTGAGGCCATCCACCAAATTTGTCGGGAGAAGGGACACTTTACAGGTTCCACAATATGGACAAGCTCCTGTGCAAACACCTATAAAAACGCATTGTCACGCGCCCACTCACGCTTCTGGCTGCTGCAGAGCCGTCTTCATGGCTTTGATTTGCTGGAAATGGCAGGACATGTCTGTGGCCATGACCATCTCAATCACCAAGGTCCGAAATTCCCTTCCGGGGACACCCCACGGGAAAAGGAGATGAAAGTAAACAAATGGAAAGTAAAAATTAGTTTATTTTTTGCCACTTCTAATCAAATTGGTTAATTAGTTGTGACCTTTCTAATCTAACTTGAGCCTGAAACTGTCTCATGGGACCCTAAGCTGCTCATCTTTTAAAATCTTTTTTTTTTCTCCTATGTCTTCAAACTGGATAATATTGATTGATCTTTTCAAGTTCACTGATGCTTTATCTTCTCCAACTTGCTATTAAGCCAGTGGAGTCAATTTTTTAAATTTAATTATTTTATTTTTCAGTTCTAAGATTTCTGTTTGCTCTTGTTCGTATTTTCATTCCACTGGTTAAATTTTACTGCATTTTATTACAAGCATACTTTCCTTTATCTCACTGAGCAGGAATATAAAAACTACTTTAAAAGCCCTTGTCTGATAATTCCAAGAGTAGTTCATCTTAGAAACTGCATTTACTGATTGTCTTCACATTTTCCTGCTCTTTGCACGTCATCTAGATTGTCACAGAATTTGAGTTGCCCCTTATTTGGCTCTCTCTTTGGGGTCCTAACGCACTCACCAGCGGCTCAGTCTGTTCCTACCCTGGTCTCTCCAGCCAGAAAAACAGTGAAGGTGTTTGTATAAATACAGTATTAGCCAACGAATGTTGTTGCCTTGACTGATACCGCTTTCGGGGTCACCAAAATGTCACACTCGCTTCCCCGTCATAGTCTCCAAACATTGGCTCCCCTCCAAAACTTAACTGTGCTCACTCTCTAGAGCCCTCAAGTCGGTGGGGTTGTACCTATTTGTTTGTTTGCCATTTTGACTGAGGTTTATCGCTGCTTTTTGCAGGAGGACTGGTTTATTAGCAGCTATTCTGGCCCACTGGAAGGGGAATCCCGAGTGATTCCACTTTGAAATGCAGTAATTATCTGGTAATACATTTATTGGCAAAGGTCCTAAAAAGTCCAATGTGCTTATGTATCCAAACGAATCCATCAGATATTAAAATTGCTTTCCTACAAAGACACAGACTAAACAGATGTGAGCTTTTGGTTCATGGATTTCTGCAAAGCGGTGTACTTCATCTCTCCTCAGAGCTCCTTCCCTGGCCCCCAGATCTCTCCCTTGTCTCAGCCTTACCTCCAGTCATCCTTGGAGAGGTTGACCAAGATATTCATTTCCTCGTCTTCTTGCAGAAGGCGGTACGCCGCACTCAAGTGGTGATTTTCCAACACAGACCGATCGTTGTACAGAATAGCTGGGTCAGACCTGAACAGGAAGCCAGGAAAATGATTTAGGATGTTGAACAGGAGATTCTTCGGGTAATTCTTTCAAGCACTAATACCCCATCTCTTTTTCCTGTGTTTAGCAATTACCTTTGCCCCGACGCCATATATATGAAAAACAAAACAAAACCAGACACTATAAATGATTAGTCAGCATACACAGAGTATTTTAATGTCAATATGTGGATGTGAAATGTGTGACATTGAATCTGAGAACTCTCTGGAAACTGTTCCATAACCAGACCTCAGTTATCTTGGCTAGTAGCAGCAAAGTTGATTTTTTTTAAATGTGGGTCAGGTCAAACTTCCTTATGTTTTCTAGAACAACTTTAACTTTTTTTATTAAATAAAATAATTTATTTTGCTTAAATTCTCTGAACACATACCCCCTGTCAATTACATTTAGCAAGTTCTTCTGGTAGTAGTTTGATCTTAAAATTTTAGCATGCAGAAGCTATACATGGGCAATTGAGGGTAAAGAATGTAAGTACAGGTTATAGGACAACTGTTAGTCTCTCCCTTGGAGACCATCCAACAGCCAAATGACAATAAACATAGAGCTGTGGACTACTTCTGTATCCGCAATTTAACAAAATCTTAGATTACTACAGCTTATTTGTTTCTCATCAAAGAAGCTGAGTCCCAGAGATGGGAAGTGACTTTGCAGAGCCCCACAGGGGCTAAGTGTCAGGGTTGGGAGGAAGGCAAGACCTCTGATAGGTGGGCCATTGTCCCCCAAGATGACTGCCACCTGTCACTGGCCAAACTTTGAAATATATCTATCACACCTTGGAAGTGTCAGACTTGACATACCATCAACGGACACAGAACCTGGGCACAGCCTTGGTTTTCTGAATGGGGAGCACTCAGGCTGAGATGCGTCAGAGGAAGTTCTGCTGGGGAAGGCCATTTCTAGATTTCATTACAAACTGAGCTTAACTGAACCTACTGGAATGTTCCAACCGCTACAAAGAGACGGCACAAAACAACGTACACCCTAAGGTGGGTGATGTGACCTTATATCTGTTAAGTAGGCACCAATTGATGTGTGTTTTTGACATAAAGCTGTTTTCCAACTCCTGTAATTAATTTCCCTCTGTGTTGTGACTGGTTTTGACAATGGTCTCCAGCCAAGATCTAAGTACAGTTCTACCCACCTCTCTTCCTTCCGCAGGTGCTATTCTCTGTCCTCCGAGCAAAGGCTCCACTAAACAGAGCCACTTTGCGGAACTCCCTGTGTTTAAAGACCTTGCAGCACAACCACACAGGCTGTTTTGCAGCAGCTGAGAGTATTCTATGTGAGGAGGCAGGAGGTAGGAAAGGAGCAGCTTAAGTCCTTTTCTCTATTTCCATTCAACTGAAATTCCCCTTCTGAACACAGATCAGAGGATACAGTCTTCTTTTGTGCACCCCACAATTACGTGTCGGGTTCATTAAATACGTGTGGATTGATTTATGAACACAAAGCTATCTGAGCTGTGCACCTGCTCGTTCAAGTGAAATCAGCCAGTGTTTATTTAGGGTTAAACTCGCGCCTCCTCGCCGTTCTTTCTTGTCACCTTGTCACCTCTCCCCAAATTCTAGCTTCTTTTGATTCCTGTCAAGGCCCAATGAACCTGACTGTCAGATTCTCTCCAGTTCCACCTCACTGTCTTAAGAGAAGGTTAAGTTCTGCGTCCGGGAGAGGGCAGATAAGGTTTCATCCTAAACACAAATGACAATGGACTGGTACAGCTTGCCTGGAACTCCACGCTGAGAATACTAAGGCTAAATCTGCAGCTAGTAAGGAAAAAAACACCCAAAATGATTAGTGATGTCAGGAGACAGTGAAGAGGTGCAGAGTGGGGCACCTGGCCCGGGACGGAACAGCCCCCACAGAGGCTGCATTTACCTGCGCTGCCTGTGAGGGAGGGTGCATAGGTTGCCCATGGTAAACGACCTACATGAGACAACCTAGCTCCCCCACCCCTGTGCCACCAAACAGAGCAGAGGTGAAATCAGGGAGACTGGGAGGAGCATCCCCAGAATCCCAGAGACGAGAGGGTAGGAAGGCTGGCTGATCGTTCCTGTCAACAAAAACACGCCCATCCTCGCCTGCCCCCGCTGAGTCAGCCTCCATGGCATCTGAGCCTCTTTGTAAACTGTTCCATCTCCTATTAAAAATAGGTAGAGCATGCACAGCACATACATAAACAACAAAGAGTTGGCATCAGAACAGAGAGGAAAAAGAGATCCAGATGAGCTGAGAATAAAATACAAGAATTAGGAGCAGGCGGCTTCTTACATTCTAAGTCTTGATCGAAGCTGACCACCTTGATCTTGTTCAAAATTTCACTTTTTCAGAAACGCAGAATAGAACCACCATGCAAAAGAGAGGGGACTACCCCTATCTGGCTTATAAACCTCTCTCCCTGCCCCTTCTTGCCTCTGCTCCAAACACTTCAACATCCTCACCGGGTCTGAATGTGGAAGTTGTTGGTGGTCCCGGTGTGCTCGTAGTCATGGATGGCAGCTGAGAAGATGATAGCAAAAATCTCCAGCTCCGTCAGCCAGTTCTGAAAGGGAGATTACAAAGCAATCAGATAATCTGTCTTTTCAGTCTTCAGCTTGCTGACAACATACCCGCATTCCTGCCTTCCCACCCTGCAGCTGGCAAGCTATCGCCAGACACATGTTCTCAGACAGAAAGAAACGGCTCTTTTCCTTCAGTAAGGAGACTAGGGCACATGTGATTTGAAAACAGCATGCCCAGCAAGGCTGAAAGCGCGAAATATCTTTTATCTTTTTCAAGAAAGCAAAATACAGTGACCATGCATATGTCAAAAGCCCTCTGTGATATCCTCTCTCAAATTCCAAATAAAGTTCCTAGGTAAACACACACAAAAAAATTAAAAAGTTCAAAACAATACCAAGAGCTAGGTGTAACAGAAAACCTAATGTCTACCCATCAGAAGGTGGACGGACAGGTGAAGACCCAGATGGAAAGGGGAAAGCCGGCCTTCTGCCTTACACGTGCAGCAGTCTGAAGAGACCGGCCCCCATCCACACAACGAAACTGGCTGTAGCTCAGTGGTCCTCAGGTGTGTTCCCTGGGCCAGCGGAGTGAGCATCCCCTGTGCTTTATGAGGCAGCCCTAGGCTTCTGATGCCTGCTAGAGTTCGAGAACCACCGCTGTGTTCCATCTCAGAGACTCTGTGGGTTCACTGACGCCTCTCCTTCCCTTCCATAAACCATGCCGCCCGGGGTCCATGCGATGGAACATCCCTGGCTCTGAGCTACCCTTTGGTGCCCTCTACCTACTTTTGTTACTAATTGAATGGATGCTTACATGTTTCAGTGTGATCTGCTAGGGTCAAGTACACTGTTACCATAACTATCCAATTAAATGTGACATAAGCCAATTAAAAAATGAACACAAAAATGGAGTTGTTATGTCTGTAGAACCTAAGTTCAATGGTATAGACAGTCACTAAAAAGAAAAAAAATTGTAAAAATTTAGAGAGTACTCACTCAGTTTGTTTCATGAGTATCTTTAAGTTCCTTTTTACTTTAATGTAATGAAACTAGAGACCTTAGGGGCAGGTTTAATGTAAGACAAATGAGTACCCAAATTGGCAGAATTCAGGAAACAGCCTGGAGTCTGAATTAAAGATTAATAAATAAAACATTTATTTCATGTAAGTTAACACAAAATTATTTTAAAAATAAACATCAATTTTTAATAATTCTCACTTGAACTGTTTTTTTTCAATTAATTACTAATTTTGGTGTTTGTCTAAAAAACCTTCCTGAGAATTATTACCCTGTTTGAGGATGGCTAAGGGAAAAATAAACACACACGCTACATACAACCTATGCAAAAAAAAAAAAAAGAAGACCTACTAGTTAGGGAAAGAATGAGCACAGTTGTAATTCAGGGGGGAAAATAAACTATACTTCTGAAAAAGGATTCCTAGCAGCCTCCCACAGGAAACGTCTGGAAACCTTGTAATATTACTGATAGCGCGCCTCGAAGATATACACTCATGTACTAGGAACAGAGAGGCATGGAGAGAAAACAGACTAAGATGAAAAATCAACAAAATTCAGTGAAAAAGAGATGGGAAAAATAAGTGAAAACTGAAGAAGATGGAAGCTACAAAAACTGATCCTGAGGGCAGCCAGGGCCCTCCTCAGGGGCCTCCCTCGAGGGGGCTGTGTTGGGCCTGCGGACCCCAAACCCAGGCAACACGCACAGCTCCGTGGAGGTGGGCACGGCCACCCCCTTTTCACAGGCGCGGAGCAGGAGGCTGGAGAGGCTCAGTAGCTGACCCACAGCGAGTGCTTTGACAAGTCACACTATGTCACTTCAGAGATCCTACTCATAATTTCTAACTCATCTTTCCTTTTGGTTCATGTGTTTACTCAATTTTGCGTGAAGCTATATGGGTTTTATTTGCTAGTACACATTTTTCTTGATATTTTCCATACACATTTTTTTTTCATTTGGGCAATGCTTTGCTTTCCTTTCCCAACACCCTGTTCCCACCCACCTGCCCCGAGTCCTCCTACCCACTCCTTTGCATGTATCTGTTTCTCCAAGATCATGTGAAGTTTAAAATAAGATTATAAATGGGAGACAGTGTACCATCTAAACAAATCTAATCACAGAGCGTCAGGCCAGTCAGCGGGTGTCTAAATAACTACATAATTACAGTTCTCACATTACAAATGTCAGTATAAATTCCCCCCCTTACGCAAATAGGTTAACAAGATCCCATCTTAGGGGTATTCTACTTCTAATACACCTAAAACAACAAATGAGTACAAACAAGCATACAACGGAAAAATAAAACCATGACCTTTAAATCTCATTTTAACACCCTGGCTTGTCAACAAACCCTGTGGATGCTTAGAATCAGTCACGCTGTTTGGGGATAAGAGAAAAGAGAGATGGTACCTGGAGGAAGAAAAAGAGGAGAAGGAAAGCGAAGAGAAGGAGGTGGAGAGGAAGGAAGGAAGGAAGGAAGGAAGGAAGGAAGGAAGGAGGGAGGGAGGGAGGGAGGGAGGGAGGGAGGGAGGGAAGGAAAGAGGAAAACAGATTCACAAACAAGGGGCATTTAAGATGGGCAAGCAAGTGAAGTGAAAATTTCAGAACAGTGAACAAATGAGCATGTCCAGTGGCAAAAACTGATTCATCCCCCGTACAGATGTGATTCCTGCTGTGGAGTGTGGAGTGTGGAGCATTAGGGCGGACTGTGGCCCTGTGACCCTGGGCACTGGGGGGCAGCCTGAGGGACGTGAAGCAGACTCGACAGGCACTGACACTGACATGCAAGGGAGTAATAAGCTCTACCTACCGCCGAGAGGGAGAAACAAGAGCAGCGCTTTGGGACAGGAAAGTCCTTGCAGGGTATATAGGCAGTAAGGAGGTGGAATCCGTGTGGCTTAGCGGTTAATGGAATGAGGGGCCCAGGATGAGGCTTCAGTGGAGGAGAACAATGAATTAAAGATGCCCCCAGCATTCCTAGCCTAAGTGGCAAAAACCATGGTGGGTGACATTCGATGGCACCGTTAATAGAAACGGAGAAGGTAGGAGAAGCTATTTTGAGGGAAATTGGGCTTCATATTTTAATAATGCTCAGATTTCTTTGCCTTTTCCAAATTAATTACTGTGAACCCAGAAGATTTTATGACAACCCATAAGAAGTCAGAAATTTAAGTTCCATGAGAATATTATTCCAGATTTATCAAACTATGACAAGGTACAAGCCACAGATTCTAACAGTATGTTACTATCTATAAAATACAATTATCATAACTAATTCAATGACAGCAATGCCTGACAACTGTAACAATGGTGGCCTTGGAATTTTGTTGTGTGCGACGCAGGAGAGCAAGCTGCGTGAGTATGCGTCCAGGGAAGTAGGGGGGCGGGGGGGGGCAGGAGAAAGCTGAAGGGAAAGGACGGGGCAAGTTCCCATTGCGAGTGGAAACAGGATGAGCACCTTGTGACTTTGATATGTGAATGACAATTTCTTTAGTTATTTGTTTCCACTCCTGTATTATTTTTCTGTTACTATCTTAAATCATCACAAACTCAAGGCTTAGAGAACACCTCCCATGTGTTGGCACACAGTTCTGCAGGTGAGACATCGGCCCAGCGTGGCTGGCTGGGTGTCCTGGTCAGGACCTCGCAAGGCTGAATTCAAGGTGTTGGCAAGTCTGCGTTCCCTTCTGAAGCTCTGTGGGAAAATCTGCTTCCAGGTGCATTCCACGCATTGGCAAAGCTCGTTTCCTTCTCATGCTTTCCACGTGGCTCTGTCCCCCTTCAAGCTAGCATTCGGCCATACCTGTTGTCTTTCAAGGACTCATGCGGTTACATTGGGCCCACCTGGAGAATCCAGGACACACTCCCTATTTTAAGGTCCTCTGTTTAGTAAGCTTCACTGTATCCACCAAGTCCCTTTTGACAGCTAATGTAACATTAACAAGGGTGACAACGCCTAAGATGTCAAAGGTCATGGAGACAAAATTCCGCTGACCACAAACCCTCATAAAATGACGCAGCACTCTTGAACCAGGGTGCCACTTAGAAACCCTTAATGTTCCCCTTATAAATATGCTAAGGCCAATTATGCTCAAAGAAACAAGATACACAGCTTCTCTCCTTTAAAAAAATAAGCAAAAGAAAACTAATGGCACCTTGGCCCAAAAAAGCAATGAAAGAGCCCAAGGGATAGCTTTGAAGTTTGGAATCTTTTGACCTAGATCAAAAGCAGACTGGAGCTTGGAGTCTGATTCCTATGTATGCAATCAACAACGCTTCAATTCAATTCTGTTCAAGGATTGTCTCTTAGAAGTGTGCAAAGTCAGTCCGAAAGGATCCGCGCATCTTCTAGGCACCAGAGTTAAGCAGTAATGAGTCATACACACACAGACTGTAATGAATTGATGTGGAGGACTAGGCATCTATCAATGGGGTGTTTTGATTCCCTATGTGTTTCACAGTTTATAGAACTGAAGTGGTTTAAAGCATCCCCCGCTCTTGGCTTGTAATGAAAGGTTAGACTCGCGGCACGTTCTCCATCCACCACATCGCTCCCACCCGTTCTGCAAGCTTGCAGTGAAAGAAGTTTGTTTTGAGCTGCATTTCTGAGAGAGAGTGGGTGGGAATCAGTTTCTATATTTAAGGATTATTCTGAATGAGGCCTGAATTGATCATGAAAATCCAATGGCAGATAAGCTCACTGAAGAGCATTACGCGGTGCATGGCTGCCACTGACTGCCATGCTGTAGCGTTTATGTTAATGATCACTCACATTAGCATAGGCGCTTGGGCGCTTTTCCTGAGAGCTAAGAAAAAGCTGTGCGTAATTCTCCTTTATATCTCCACAGTGCACCACACAGTAGGCACTGACTAAATATATGTTGAATACGTAAGTCCGAAGTACGTTTTCTCATTTACTTTGATCCTCACCACAACACTTTGAAGTATCACACGAGGTTACCGAAGTGTAAGAATACCGCTTTTTTTTTTCTTTTGCCACAGGCATTGGAGAAGCATGGCTGAAATATTTAAATGTGTAGCCTAAGAAGCCAGATCTGGGACTGAATCCTGGCTCCGCTGTGGTATTAGTTTGCCAGGGCTGCCATCGCAAATGCCACAGACGGGGCAGCTCACACAACAGAAACGTATTCTCTCTCAGCTCTGGAGGCTGGAAGTGCACGACTGAAGCGTTCCCAACTTGCAGATGGCCGCCTTCACATTGTCCTCACACAGTCTTGCACTGTGCCTGTGGATGTCTGTCCCAACCTCCTCTTTTTACAAGGACACCAGTCATACTGGATTAGGGCCCACCAATATGACCTCATTTTACCTTAATTACCTCTTTAATGGCCCCGTCTCCAAATTGTGTCACATTCTGAAGCACTGAGGATTAGAATAGGACTTCAACATATGAATGTACAGGGGGACAAAATTCTGCTGACAGGAGACACTTTATGACAGGGCAATATAACTCTGAATGAGTTTCTTATTTTTCTACTGAATTTGTGTCATTTTGTCATTGGTCAATTTATTTATATAATCCGGATCTTAATCCTTGTTCTCTCTATATTGTCCTCAAGTACTACTTAATTATGATGATATTTTGTATCCTACAAAAGGTTTTAATATACTCAATTAATCCATATTTTATTAGATAGCTTTTGTGTGTTAAGGCTTACTTAAGAAAATGTCCTTTTTCAAGGTTATAAATATGTCCTCCTGTTTTCTCCTAATATGAGTAAACTTTCATTTTTGTACTCACATCTTTCTTTTTTATCTGCTATTTCATGAATGATGTGAAGTAGGACAAAAATAACCTGGGTATTCCAGATGAACAACTGTCCCTGAAACATTTTTTGAACTGAGCGGTTTTCCCTAGAATGTAGTCTCTAGACATGACCTCACCTTCTCACCTACAATTCTTTCTTTGTTACACTCTCGTTGGTGTTCCCTCCTTAGGAAACCATGAGACTGCTCACGTCAAGGGTACCGATGGCTTCCGTGCTGCCAAAGGCAGTGATCACCTCCCTGTCCTCGTCCCACTTGACTTTCTGTCACGTCCCGCACGATTCACCCTTCTCTTTTGAAGCACCTTCTTTCCTCGGCTGCCATGTCCCCACACTCTCTTGGTTTCTGTCCCAATGTCCCTGGCCACTCCTTTTAGTTACTGCTGTTGGCTCTCATTCTCCACCTTCTTTTAAACTACGGACTGCTCCCAGGCTCCCTTCAGAGCCCCTCCTCCTTCTCTATTCGCACGCTCACTAGATGGTCACACCTGGCTCCGTGCTTTGAGTAACACTGACATGTCCGTTGTCTGACCTCTTTCCAGAACTCTAGACTCCCTCAGTTTTCCTCCTGCTTGACATCTCCACATGGATGACTAGTAGGGATCTCAAACTCCATGTGTCTAAAGTGAAGCCCTTCTCCCGAAGACTGTGCTGCCACCAGGCTCTCTCATCCACACTGTTTATCAAACCAAAAATCTAAGACATACTCCTGATCCCTCTCTCTAATGCTCCAAATCCTATTTACCACCCAACTGTTTCACCTCTACCTCAGAATCAGAATTTCTGTCCCCATATGCTAGCAATGTCCTTTCTAGTCCAAACTACTATTCTCTCTCCAGTAAACTCCTACAGTCCTCCTCAGAAAGGCGGTATCCATTCCCCACGGTGATAATTTCCTAATCTTTGTCTGGTCCCATGACTTCTCTGTCTAAACCCCTTAAGTGGCCTCACACTGCACTTAGAATAAAATTGGAACTCACTCCCCTGGGCTACAAAGCCCGATCTGGCCTGGCTCCTGCTTTGTTCTCCAGCCTTATCTTGCCCCTCTGTCCCCATCCTGTGCTGTTCCCACTGGGCTTGCTTTTCTTCTTTGTTCCCTGAATCCAACCAAGCTGTTCTCTTACGAGGGAACTAATGATAGTTATATTTATACTGGTCCTTCGGTGCTAACTGCGGGCATGCTCTTCTTAGGGTCTTTGTACAGCTCAACTCTAAAATCACAACGATATCAAATGAACTGTTACCTCTGAAGAGAGGCCTTTCCTGACACTTAATAAAATTTCCAGTTTTCCCTATGTGGGTACCCTATTTTAATTTTAATTTTCTGCAGGACGCAAGTGATATTTTCTTGTTCACTTTTTTTATTGGCCTCCTATCTGTAGCCTCCCACTAGAATGCAAATCCTGTAGGAACACTAATGTACCCTTACCTGAGAAAAAGAAACTAGCACATGATAAGTGCTCAGTAAGTATTTGGGTTTCATTTTTGAAACTCTAACCAATTCCACTGTTATATTTGTCTATTTTGGCACAAATTCCACACTGTTTTATTGCTATAGGTATTCTACTACCTACTAGACTAACAACTACCCCACCACACAGGTTGTTTTTTTTCCAAAACTGTTTTTTACAGTTGTAGAACATCTGCTTTACATAATTTCAGACTCTGTTTATCATTTTTCATATTATATCCTATTGGAATTTTTATTGGTATTGCTTTGAATTTGCAGATTAGTCTGAGGGAAATTGATATCTCTGTAATACTGAGGCATTAAAAACATGGTATATTTCTTTACTCAGTTAATGTTATTTTGTGCCCTTTAGTTTCATAGTTTCCTTTGTATCAGTTTTGAAGTTCTTCATAGGTAATCGATAGATTTTTTTCAACTGTTGAGAATGTATGATTTTCTACTGCACACGTTCATTTCCAGAGCACAGGACAGCTATTTTATTTGATCTAATCATTTATAGTTGGCTTTCTTGATTTTTAAAAAGAGATGATCACATTATTTTCACAGGATGCTCCTTGAATCTCTTTAGATGGCACGTGGCCCTGGCTGAGACCCCCAAACGGTGCTCCATAGCACTTTCAACGTGGGCATCGCTGCTTGCTCCACGGTTTGACGGAACCACCCTTAACTGCAACTCTTGCTCTATGTTTCTGGCAGAAATCCTTTATCACATCAAACCAGTTCCCTTTGTGGTATTTCTGTAATTCAAACAACAGCCTTTTAAATAATATTTTAAGAAATCAGTTTTACAGTAAGGAAGACCTGAAAGCTGGTGAGAGGTTTCGGGGAAATCCCGCAGTTTTAAGGACAACAATACCTCACCACTGAGTCCCCTGCATGAGGCAGACAGAGCACTTGTACTTCTGATACTTTAGTCCTAACTAGCAAGGTCCTTCTACATGATAAGGTATTCCATTTTAGAAAATGAGGAAATCCTGACTCAGAGATTTGAGCAATTTATCATAGGTCACAGAATCTAATAAGTAATTAAACAAGGATTTCTATCCAAATATATCTAGCTGCAAAGCCCATGCTCCTCCCACTGTATTCCATTTTTAATTCAGTGAGATATTAGACCATGTCATTCAACATGCCCTTGCTGAGAAGATAACAAATGTGTACTGGGTTTATGGGCCAATGAATAACCATACCCAAAGAATGTCTATCTTGGTGCCAATTCTGAAGAAGATTTCAAAGTCTAGGTCAGAGAAACCAGGCTTAGAGACCTGGCTGTCTGTGTAACCCTAGAGTTCCCATCAGTACTCACCACGACGCCTGTCTTATAGAGTAGGTAATGCACGGTCTGGGTGACGTCGGCAGCATGCATTAAATTGTGGTAAGGGTTTTTGTGTTTGCTGTACCCCACTTCCAGGGCCTCCACAAATGAGACGAGTGCAGAGATGGGGATCTGAAAAAGATCGGTAAGGTTGATGCACCAGTGATTTAGTAGCTTTAAGTGAGGGAAGAAATTACACAGGCTCATCTCAAAGACACGCAGGGCAGAGGGTATGTGTTCATTTATTTCCCAGGCGAAGGTTCGAGTCTTTTACTTCTTGACAAATAAATGAGTATGTACTATGCAGTGTATCTCATTTATTTATGACAAAACATAAGGTACACCAAGATCTTAAGTCATTAAATGATTGCAGAGTCATTATTTTGCATTATTAATGCAAATTATTTTGCATTAAATGATTATAAAATAAACACAAGCTGCCACCTCCTGGAAAATGTGCTCTTCAAGAAAAGGGATTGTATGTACTGGACACATTTTTAAAAAAGTCATAATCTGTTACACATGGGAACAGAAACAACCTGGGTTCTTGTGTCTGTTACCTGACAATTTATCATAGATGCCCTGCAATTTGGAATGCTATTTCCAATTAGCCTAACTGCGTTTCTGTTTCAAATATGTGTAAAACAAATACCTCCTTTTTCTATGTGGCAGAAAGTGAAGGACAATTACAAAATGTCCATAGAAAATAAGGGAAACTTAACACAGTCTCCATGTTAGTTTTCTGGATCAGTTCCTTGGTTTAGGGCAAATTATGAAGTACAATAATGGCGGTAAGGGAAGAGTGTGTGTTCCAGGAGGCTAAAAAGCACGTTAGTAAAATATTGTAATAATAGTAAGGAAAATACTGTGATGCTTTGTGAGAATCCATAACATGTCCTTCCTGGACCCCAAGTCTTCATTCTTCCGACTTGTAGAAATATTGCCTTTTAAATATTGCCTTTCAGATATTAGAGATCAATTTTCATTTTTGAAAATAAAGATTCAAGAAACCTAGGTTCTCGGGGCTGTTCATGAGGGTCCAGCGTGTGCAAACGTTCATGGGGCTTTGCTGAGGAAAGGGTCTCAGGCAGTCGCCAGGTTTTCAAACAGGTTTCTGGTGCAAAACAAATTAAGGACCACCATCATGAACTATTTACGGCTGTGTAAGAAAGACACTCCCAAATACACAGTCCTTTAGAAAGCGATAAGGCACCGTGCTGTCCAGAGAAGTCAGTATGTCACAGAGAAAAAGGCCTGCATTTTCCAGAGGCTCATTCACAGGATGAGAGAAGTCTGAGGAGCACAACATGACAGATGTCAGCAGATGAATTCACAGGTCACCTGGGGAACCTGACGGGACCCTCAGGGCCTGAGGAATGAGAGGCTGATGGCATTGAACCCTGGAAATGATTCCAGCTCTTTACCTAAAGCTGAAGAATTAATTTGAAGCTTGAATGGCTGGGCAATACCAATGACCTGTCACAGATAAGGGAGAGCATTTGTCTGCATTTGAGTCAAGTGGTGGGAAAAAAATCATTTGCAGAGACAGAAGACACCATTCTGTCTCTATGACGGCCTCCTGGCGGATGGTGGGAGATCACACAGGAAAGGAGGCTGCAGTGAGATCAGTGGGCAGGGCCGCGGGGAGTTCTGCTCGTTCAGGTTTCAGGTGGTGCTTCGAGGAAGACTGGGATCAAATGTGCAGCTCCAGCCTCTCCCTAGCCAACGAGCCCGCCAGGCAGGGGAGTAACAAAAAGTTCCCACTGCAGAGGAGTTCATAACAGTGGCTGTCCAGACAATGGGTCCCAAGTCACCCAGGGCAGTTTTGGGTCTATACTAAAATGATTCTCTTGGCCTTAGCCCCAAAATCATGCAAGGACAGATGAGAGAGAGAGAGAGAGAGAGAGAGAGAGAGAGAGGGAGGGGGGGAGGGAGGGGGAGAGAGAGAGAATAATTAGGCACTGACCTTGAAACGGCTGATCAGATCGTAGCGTGTGAGTAATTCATAGAAAATGAATTTCAATGCATGGTCCCCGCTGGCTTCGTTGAGGGAAAAGACATCAAAGGACCACTTGTCCACATCCTGCAGGACCGAGAGGGGAGAAAGAACGCATCAGTCCCCAGCCACAAGCATGATTACAGACTTCTCTCTCAAGAGTCGGCCTGCAGCTTTCACCCAGGACTTCACAGTCCAAGACTCTAATGCCCTTTCCACTCCCAGATGTTTTCCAACCTGGCAGACCTAGATAGCATTTACTGATCAAATATTCAATAGTCTTATTACTAATAACAGCTATAATTTCTTGAGTGCCTACCATATGCTAGGCATTGTGATCAGTAATAAATACCATAACTTATCGTGGAAATCAGTCTCAGGGATAGACTTTAAGGAGTCACATTTTATAGACAAGGAAGCTGAGAAGTTACCTAATTTCTCCAAAGCCCCATCACGAGTAAGTGCGAGGGATTCAGTGGGCCCAGCACACAAACACAGGTTGACCAGATGCCTAGGCTCAGGCTCTGTCCATTAACACCCTTCCACTATGCACCCACGCTGAATTTCAAATCCTTCGGTGCTTCCCTACTCTGAACTTCTCCCCCGTCCTCTGATACCATCTGCAGACTTCCCCTTAGTCCACAGTTGGGAATATCAACCCACTTTACAGTGTTCAGAAACATACCTGCTATAGAATATAAAATAATGTGTCACTTCAATCCAAACTGCTGAGTTGAACCCAAGGAGAAAGCCTTCATTTCATGGTTGGAAAAATGCTACCACTTCTGGGGTTACTGATCTGGGAATCTGATCCTCAAATCTGTAAGTCACTTTATTGAAAAGAGTAAAACTAAAAGCTAAGTTGAACACACACCTCATATTCTCTTTTTGAAGTTCAAAGCCTTATTTGTCCATTATTAGCTACTCCAAAAAAATTGAGGTCTGTCAGAAAAAAGTCTAGCCATTGTTAAGGTAAAGAGAATGGTTTGTGTGACATCAATGTAACCTGGCAGCCAAGGAGAGTGGACTGGAATGCATATGTGTGAACAATGACGACTTCATTGCACTAGTCAGTGGGGGCGGTAAACATCGTTGAATAAGCAGGGGTACTGTGTGGCTGTTGCATTAAAAATGACTAAGTAGAGCAACAAATCTCCATCAAATTTTGTGTTAAGCTTTAACATTCCTCTACTGAAACTGTCTGCATGATTCAGAAGGCTGCAGCTGGGGACAGTTGGTGACTGGCAGCTTCATCATGACAACGCTCCTGCTCACGCATCACACCTCGCGCAGCGATTTTTTTGGTGAAACATCAAATCACCCAGGTGACTCAGCCCCACTATATACAGCCCAGATGTGGTGCCCTGAGACTTCTGGCTTTTCCCAAAACTAAGATCACCTCTGAAAGGGAAGAGATTTCAGACCATGGATGAGATTCAGAGGAGTATGATGGGGCAGCTGACGGTGATTGGTAGAACTGTGTGAGGTCCCAAGGGGCCTATTTTGAAGGGGATGGAGTGTCACTGTCCTAGGTACAATGTTTCTTATATCTTGTATCTTCTTCAATAAATGTCTCTCTTTTTCCACATTGCATGGCTGGATACTTTCTGGACAGACCTCATCTATGTAAACACTACGTGATGTGTCGTTCACTTATAACCAGATATTTATAAACAAAGTCTTGTTTAACCAATAGGTAAGAAATAGTCCTTTGGTTTCTTATTGTGATAGAGTCTTACTTCAATTAAAAAAAAAAAAAGTGTACAGCTGTGAGCCTGACAATAGGACCCATGTGAGACCACACTGAGTCTAGGCAGGGTGTCAGATGGCGCCTTGGAAGAGACACTGGTTACCAGGAACTGCTGGCCTGAGTGGCTCTCACCTCGGCCCTCCCTGCATCTCAACATCACCCACCTGTCCCAATCCTGTCCCTCTCCAAATGTCCCAACTGTCAATATCACCCCAAGGCCATCAAGGTCTCTCCCATGGATGCCAGGGCACAGAATAACTGAATTTCCCTATATAGGGAAAAACGAACTTTTCCAGAAGGGTCTCCAACTAGCTTGTTTCGATTCATGCCAGTGGTAACCTCGCCTCAGTTTTCAGTAATTTCTCCTCCATTATAATAACTAAAGAAATAGCTACAAGTACTGAGCATATTTTTTTGTGCCAGACACAGGGTGAGGTATTTATACATATCTGCAAATCTTCGCAACTCTAGAAATAGGTGTTAATTTACCAAGACTTACAGATGGCAACCTCAGAGGGATGAAATGAAGTGTCTGACGGCACTTGGTAGCGGAACCAGGTAATAATGCCAGTGGCATCAATTAGTGAGATCACTGCCAGCAGATGAAATCACTGTAAACTCCATTGCTATGTACTGTGACCCAGGTCTCACGCCCTAAACACCCCGACAGGGCCCAGGCCAATAGGTGGTGGGGCCAGTTGAGATTAACCCAAGACCTGAAGCTTCACCTTGATCATGACAATTGGCATTGCCATGACATCCACTCTCTGACCGGCAGACCTAAGGGAAAGTCTTGTGACAACTCAGTAGGTGGGACAACACTTTGTCAAGCCAGACAATTTTTAATCCTATTCTCCAGAATGAATAAAAAAGAGAAAGGCTATTATTAGAAATAAAGAGATTATCATAATAAGAAATCAAATTTATTCGGAATAGTAGGAATTAGACAAATGAGAAGATGGGTAAATAGAGAGCAAGATAGATGTTCTCTCTGGTCCCTCAAGCTCAGAAGGTCTCAGCCATGGTTTGAAAATTTTAATGTTCTTGAGAACCACCTGGGGTGTTCAGGAAAAATGCTGATTTCCAGGTGAGAGACTCTGCAAAACGCTGGTGTGGGGCCTAGAATCTGCATTTAACAAGTGCCTAGTTTTATTGTTTTAAACCAATCTTCCTCTCTGACCAAAACTGGCCCGAAGACCAATCCTGCAGAGAAAGAGCATGACTTCCCGTCAGTCTAATGTAAAAGCAGCCCAAACCCCCTCATCTCCTCACACCTCAAACCTGGAGTCGATCCAGGCGTCCCTTCCAAAGTCACACAAACAGACGCCCTTCTAAAGAATGGAACACTTCAACCTTCCTGAGAGCCCCACCTCAGAAGACCAGAGATAAAACGCTCCAAATTAGAAGCTGGTATCTGTTGAATGGAAAAAGTAAGAACAAAAATGCCACCTATTTCCAGTTTAGAGATCTTGCTTAAATGTTGTTTTATGCCATGTTCTTGCATTAATCACAAAGGTTAACATGACAGTAGTAGCCTGATGGCTGTTTTATTGAACTGTATTCTCCCAGGCCTTGGGGACATTTTCTGTAACAGGAGAAAACAATAGTGATCCCATATAAACCACTGGCAGTGAAGTAGAAACCACCTTTTTCTAACAGTGCAACATAAAAATAAAAAGAAGAAGAAGAAATTATCTATCAGTGTGACCCCTCCAACTCACCTCCAATGCTCTGCAAACAAAACCAGAGTCTAGGGAAGTGGTAAAAATATTACATTGTAAAAAGATCCTGAACGTCCCCAGTGAACAGGAGGCAGGACGGAGAGGAGAGGTAGTTTTAGCCTCAGGCGCGCATCAGCGATCCTCATGGAGAAGGGCAGCAATTCAGAGAGTTCCTATTTACTCTTTGTCTGAATCTTCTAGGTACTTTTCCCCTTAGACAGACACATGTGCTTCTGAGCGTCGCTTTTCCCTAAGCCTAAAATAACAACTCACATATGTCCTTCACATTTCCTTCCGTTATTCAGCATAGAAAAGATGCTCCCATTTGGAAAACATTCTCATAAATTTCTTAGTACTTGTATAATCACCTATATTTATGGCCACAATAAAGGAAGGAATTAAAAATAAAAGATGCTTTTAAAGTTCCTAAGACTCTCACTGAATGTTTCAGGTTCAATTATGAAAATCAATGCAACTTCATAGTGGTGTTATGAAACATCAAATCTTATGTGAAGTGATTTCACTAATTAAATGGGAAACGTTGCTGTCAATCACTGACATATTGTGCATTAAAGAAGTGGTTGAAGAGGAGTGAGAGAAAACGTGTGTCTTCTTCCTGTATCCTTCTTCGGTATCCTTCCTACTCTTAAGATGAGTTAAGAAGGGACATTAAATTGGTAAGGTAGATTCTACACTTGATCTTAGCAAAAAGACTGAGGAGCAATTCACATGTTAGAGTGGTTATCATCAACAAGGCAACTAATAAGTTTTGGAGAGATTGTGGAGAAAAAGAAACCCCCATACACTGCTGGTGGGAATGTGAATCAGTGCAGCCATTATGAAAAGCAGTATGCGGTTCCTTAAAAAAAAAGAATAGAGCCCTGGCCAGGGTGGCTCAGTGCATTGAGTGCTGGCCTAGGGACGGAAGGGTCACTGGTTTAGTTCCCGGTCAGTGCACATGCCTGGGCTGCAGGCCAGGTCCCCAGTTAGGGGTGTGAGAGAGGCAACCAATCGCTGTTTCTCTCATACCTCATGTTTCTCTCCCTCTCTCTCTCTCCTTTCCCCTCTCTAAAAATAAACAAATAAGTGCTTCCCAGATAAGGTTACATTAGAGAAGTTTATCATCACCAAGCCCTTATTATATGAAATGTTAAATGGACTTATCTAAGAAAAAAAAGATCAAAACTATGAATAGTAAAATGACAACAAACTCACAACTATCAACAACTGAACTTAAAAAACAAAAACAAAAACAAACTAAGCAAACAACTAGAACAGGAACAAATCACAGAAATGGAGATCACATGGAGGGTTATCAGTGGGGAGGGGAGAGGAGGGGGAGAAGGGGGGAAAAGGTACAGGGAAGAAGAAGCATAAATGGTAGGCACAAAATAGGCAGGGGGAGGTTAAGAATAGTACAGGAAATGGAGAAGCCAAAGAACTTCTATGTACAACCCATGGACATGAACTAAGGGGGGGCGGGCACCGGGGGGAATGGTGAAGGGAGGGGTTGCAGAGGGGAGGGGGATAAAGGGGAGAAGAAAATGGGACAACTGTAATAGCATCATCAATAAAATATGCTTTAAAAATTAAAGTAAATAAACATGAATAAATAAAATCTTTTAAAAAAAGAATAGAGTTGCCACATGGCCCAACAATCATTCTCCTGGGTGTCTACCCACAAAACTTGAAAACATTTATTCATAAAGATATATGTACCCCTGTGTTCACTGCAGCATTATTCACAGTGGCTAGCACATGGAAACAACCGAAGTGTCCGTCAATAGATGGCTGGATAAAGAAGATGTGGTACATATATACAAAGGAATACTACTCAGCCTTAAGAAAAGATGAAATACTGCCATTTGCAGCATAGATGGATCTTAAGAATATCATGCTAAGTGAAGTACGTCAGATGGAAAAAGTCAAGAACCATTTGATGTCACTCACATGCAGAATATAAAGCTGAAAGCAGCAAATGAACAAAGACAAAAAAACAAACAAAAACTCAAAGACAGAGACAACAGTATGGTGGTTACCAGAGGAAAAGGGAGGGAGGTAAAAAGGGGTAAAGGGGGTCAAATACACGGTAATGAAAGGAGACCAAGCTTTGGGTGGTGAACACCATGGGGAACGATATACAGAGGATGTATTACGGAACTGTACACTTGAAACCTCTAGAATTTTATTAACCAATGTCACCCCAATACATTCAATAAAATTTTTAAAAAACAGACAGAAAATGGAAAGCCGAAAATCTCAGTATAGGGGGTCTCACAAATTCAGCTAGTGACTCTCTCTGAGACAAGAGAAAAGAACTATGAAATATATAACCGAAATGGCCCTAAAAGATTTTTTTCTTGACATTAAACTGATCAAGAAGCACTCTCACCCCCAATTCTATGAATAAGTAATTTAAATTATGTTCTGAAATTACCAGAGAAAGGCAAAAATGGCCTTAACCACAGTCAGAATTCTGGGATGTCCCTGAGTAAGCGGACATAACTCCATAGGTACCCACCACACAATGTCAACCAGCCCGGGGACCCTGGGCCTCGGCACAGCCTCACCCTCAAATTCTGAAGCTGAATCAGCTTCAACATGGCCAGGACGCCCTCCGACCAGTGGATGTAAATCAACACACACCTAGAGGAATATATCTGCTCTGGGACTCTTAGAAATATTCTGTACAATTCCAAGAGATTGCCTGATTGGGAGTATTCTGCACGATTTATATCTTAAACTCAAACATCTGTGTGACTTCAAATAGAACTTTTGGGCTTGGTGAGAGTCTTGGGAAAACAGCAGGGTATATGGAGAGGGTAAGGGCTTTGGGGAAGACATTCATGCCATAAAATTCTACTGGTAGCTTAGAGTGTACCTGAAACTCTGATATCAAACCATGCCCTGTCCCTAATTAACTGTCTCTCTTTTTTTAATCTCACTGAGTCTCCATTTATTCATCTATGAAGTGGACTTAGATTAGGTAATCATATATTGATACAATTTTGATCACCAAAGGTCCTTGGGATGTTGAGTATTTACAACTAGATCAAGTTTGATTTCTTTGGCCTAAGTCAGACTGAGCCCAATAAAGACTTATCACTAAAGGACTCCAAGGAAGCAGAGAGAATTGAAACCCACAGAGTTTGATTTCATAAAAAATTAGCATGATGAAAGCTGGAAAGACAGTGATACTGTTAAAACAGATAAGTAAAAGGGAAGAAAAGTTAAAAATCAGGAATGACTGGGAAATCTGTAAATGAACTATACATGAAAGCCCCTTATTTTTTAATGACAAATGTAACTGCACTTTTTACAGAGCCCCATGCACGTCATAAGACTTTTTCACTGGTGTTACCTTTAGTGCTTCTATAACTGCTGGTGGGTAGCTCAGTCCAACCATGTTTGATGTCCGTCTGTACATTCTGGCAAAGTCAGAGAGGGAGAAAAGGCATTATTACATCTTACAAAGAAGAATTAGCAGCCCACAGACTTATACCAAATATTGACAAATAATGAGAAGTCATGACCTCTGGCAACCCAAGGAATCTAGAAGTTCTTTTATAGCCTTTTTCGTAGTCCTTCAAGTGGCCTAACTGTAAAATTCAAACGAAATTAACACAATCTCAAACACATGAATTGTTGGAAACAAAAAATCAACCTATGTGGCTCAAATTGGAAATTAAAATTATTGAAATGGGTCGCCTGTTCCGCCAGAAGTGACTTATAGTTCAGCACAGACAGCATTCGATGTACAACTTTAACTAGGACAAAGAACTCCTCCGGGCAACCCACGTAGGACAGCTGTTCTTCAGGACTGCCAAAAACAAGCAGGAAAGTGTCCCAGGTGAACTGCGGCCTTTCTAAAACCTGTCAACGTACCATAGGATTATAAATCCTATGTACCATAGGAAGAATAGATCCATCTGTATGATAAAGGATTATAGGAAGCATCAATCAATTTCTGGAATCCACTTCTGGGGGCCGGGGGTGCAATTCAATGTCAAAGAACAAAATGGCTAACAAAATTGAGAAGCTGCATGGGGAACTCACACCCTTTCAATGAGCTTCCTTCCCTGGGTCAACACGCTGTCCCTGACCTGGTCCCAATGCAGACATCATCCATATATGTCACAGGACGATGGGTTAGATGATGTTCTTCGAAAATGAGAGACTGAACTCCAAGCAAATCTTTTCTAGTTAACAAAAAGAATCTGAGCAAAGGCAAAGCTTGTCCTGTTGTGCTACAGAGATTAAGGTCGCTATGTGTTTGCCATCTCTCCTTCAAGACCGTCTCCACCCAGACTTTACAGTATTTACAAAGATACCAAAACCACATCAAAGCAAATCTTCAGTTTGGGGTCATCGGGCGACAGTTGTGTTTACCTCTCCACAAATATCCCCGCCTGCACTGCATGCACGATGCTCTTGAACCGCGGCTTCTCCTCGCTCCTCCTGAGCATCATCCCCATCTGCCGCGTGAAGGTGGAGGCCAGCCAGTCTCGGACCTCAGAAGGCACCGCATCCGACTGGATGTCACTGAGCTCGTCCTCCGTGTCCAGCAGCCGCCTGAACACAAGAAACACACCCAGGACACTGAGATGAAACCTGAAGTTCGAGCTCTCTGTTTCAAACAGCTGCTCCTTGACTCAAACACACCAAATTAAACTGGTCACAGAAAAGACAGCCCCTTTTTGGTAAGTCTTGCAAAAGCTCACCATTTGCCCTTCAGGCATGGCCTTTCCACGATTTATGTTTTAGGATGGCTCTCTCTACCAGATGGGACAAAGGAGCAGAGTCAGAGGAAGTCACAGACAGTCCACGTCGGTTCTGTGGGCCTCAGAATCAGTGCACCCAGGAGCACCCAGAAATTTATTCCTGGGTTTATGGAATTTGAATGGTACCTAAAGCTGCCATTTAAAAATGCATTCATAGGGAGGTTCATTTCACAGATGGACCATGTGGCACTGTTTTTTTTTTAATTGAGATTTAAAGAGTTTGCTATAGACAACAATATTGTATTATACACTTTAAAGTTGCTAAGAGACTAGATCTTAATTGTTCCCACCACAAAAATATGCTTATTATGTGACAGAGGTATATGCTATCAATATATAAATGTGTGAAGTCAATGCATTATACACCTTAAACTTACATGTCATATGCTAATTATATCTCAATAAAAGAAATTTTTAGAAAAAGAATAATAAATAGACCATAAAGAACAATACTACCCAACCACATCAACCCAATGTCGACTGATACTCTCTTTAGTTTCATAGAACATCACAGAAACTTCGATGTCTAAATTCAAGCAAAATGTCCAAAATAAACAGTTGTTTATTTGAGCACAGAGATTTGTCATCTGTCAGGTGTGCTTAGCTGATTTTTTCAAACTTTTTCATAGGTCAGACCACTGGAACAGAACATAAATAGTACTAAAGTTACAATAAAACTTAAAATTGTGTTTTATACTTGTTTTAAGTCCTACTAAAAATAAGGAGTAAAAACAAGTGTTGATGAAAAGGCTTTTTTTTTTTTTTCATTCAGACACATCAGATAGGGGAAGGGGAGGATGTGTAACAGTTGGGCAAAAAAACCATGATATCCAATTTCCTTAAATTAGAGACCAAGCACGTTACCAAAAACTAAGCCACACAATTCTTAGATTCCTGGGAAATGTTTTCGGATTGGAACTGGGCATAGAAATGTAAGACAGCACAAACACTGACAACGGAGCCTGTCTGAATTTCAAAACGGAAGAGAAAAAAGCCTTTCATTTTCATCATTTCAGTATTTTTCAAAGGAAAAGCAATTCTGTTATTCTCAAGTGCATTTGGTAACTAGAAGTGCTTTAATACTTTTGGATAATTCAAGTGCAAAGAGTCTGCTAAGGAAATCAATAACCTACTGAGGACTGAAGGGGGAACACCGGGTGCTGAAGAGAAAAATGCTCCTCCGTCACCTTCAGGCCCTCCGCTTACAGACGGGTTCTGTGAACTAAAGCAGGACCTCAGCATTCAGACTGAGACTAATGATATGCAACATTCTTAGCGGAACCCTACATTTGATTTAAAAAATCTAACCAGATTTTTTTACAATTACCTTTTCCCCTCTTACACGGTCTCACTGCATTACCATATTGGCCATGTGAGGTAAGTGCTATTGTATTTGCTCCTTTTTGTAGAGGAAGGGGTACAGAGGTTATGGGATGCTCAAACTTACTCCATTTGTTCGTGGAAACTAAAGTTTGAAGACCAGCCGTTTTGATGGCACCCCGTTTGTGCCATGGGACATTTCAGGAAAGCCATATAACAGGAAATTCCCCAACACTGCACTAACTTCTTGTCATTTTTAGCTTACCTGGTTTCATCGATGTACACAGACTCAAGCACTGTGGCCGCATATTCCAAATTCTTCTTAAGATCTACCACTGAAGCCTCCCCTCTCTCTAATTGTTTGACCAAAGACCGTAACCTAGGGGAAATAAAAGACATAATACAATTAGAATAAAGGAGACAAAGAATAATCCTACAATTATGGTGACACATTTTATAGCCATTAAATATTTTTATTTGCTCCACTATATTGAAAAGGATAATACGAATCTAAAGATGGAGCTGACCAGTATTTCTCAAGGAGCAAGTTATACAATAAATGTACACATTTTGGGGAAGCAAGAACAAAAATGTTCTCACCCACTGACCACCAGCATCACTTTCCAGCTACCTTTTCTCTTTCAAGAGTTCCCTGAATTATCAACGGTTTTGCTGCTTCTCTGACTATAATTGTTGTTGTCCTAATTGGATGTAGTCAAGCATGACCTGCAACAACATTATCAAGTTGAGATTCTGCTATGTGGACAGTACTTTGTTCACAGTAGCCATGGAGCATGGCAGCTTCCGGCACAAGGGTGTTCAAGACAGCGAGCAGATCGAAATCCCCACAATAACCTTAGAGGGCTACAAAGGTGAACATGAAGACAGATTATTTCTTTCACTGGACAGGAAAAATCCCTTAGAAGCAGGTAAGTACCCTACTTAGAAAAAAAAAAGTGAGAATGGATGATAAACCAAGGTACTGAGCACAAGACCTTCCCCAAAGCTAGTCAAGAGTTCCAGGGAGTGTAAGAGAAATAATAAAGCATGCTCTCCTCAGAAAAGGACTTAGGATGCAGGTCATAAAATTCCAATAGACAATCCAAATCCAGCAACTGGGAACACTAAGTACCACAGAGACTTGGAGGTAGGACAACACTCCAGACAGACAGCCAGCAAACAAGAGAAGAAACCTGGAGGACACTTCACAGCACACTGGCTATTACTACCAGGCAAATTATTGGATTTCTCTGTCAGCTATAAAATGCCAATCCAACCACCCCATTCCCTAGGTGGCTATAAATGTTCAATCAAATTGATACTGATACAGTCACACCCCCCATATAACCCACCATTGGTTTCTTCTCACCTTTAGTGAGATATAATTGACATATCACATTGTTTAAGATGTACAATGCGATGATTTCATACATGTATAAATTGGAAAATGATTACCACAATATGGTTAGTTAACACATCCATCACCTCACCTAATTACAATTTTTTGTGTAGTAAAAATATTTAATATTTGCTCTCACAGAAACCTTGATATATGCAATACTCACAAGCAATACTTGCTAACTATAGTCATCATGCTGTACCTGAGGTCCCCTGGACTCACTCATCTTATAACTGGAGGCTTGGTCTCTTTGACCAACATCTCCTCATTTCCCAGTTTTTTCTTTATAAAGGCAAGTGCTATCATTATTGTCATTGTTGTTATTTGGTAACCTTGATCATCGTAAGTATGAGAAACATTCTAGCAGGACACTTCAGATTATTATCAAGTCTCCATTTGCTAAGGCTGACCTCACCTTCCTGACTTGAAAATACCCTCTGACTTGCAGTCATACGAGAGAAGTTGGACTTCTTGGCAATACGTAAACTGCTCTCTTCTAGATCCACATGAAAATGATCAGCAATAAAAAAGAAGGAAAAACTCTAGATCAACCTTAAAAAGTAGGCAAGAGGGTCAGCCATACAAAAGAAATTCCCTGGAAATTCAATGATGCAGATTACAGAGGAAATTCCATTTGAGTCACCACCTGACTTTGTGAGTCGAACAAGGGAAGGGAAATACACAAAGCACATCAGCAGAGGGCCCTGCCCCCTGGAGGTGAGGTCGGCCCTGGGGCTCCCCTAGCTGCGTTAGGGGCTGTTGTGGGTTTTGGAGGCCACTCAGGACAGGGAGTTGGCACAGAAGGGCTTAGAGTCACTCACTTGTACAGAGACAGCCAGTCTGCCAAAGAGCGGGGCACTGCAGCGGCGGGCCCTGAGCGCCGCTCCAAAGAAGGAGTGGAAGCTCTTCAGCGAAGCACGTTCCTGGCTGGCCAGCCCCTAATGCTCCCTCTCACCTCCGGGGGCCAGTGACCCCCCGGGTTGTTTGGACTGTCCACTGACAAAGCAAAGCGAAGGTAAATTGAAACTTTTTTTTTCCTCCCTTCATTTGGAGCTTTAAGTTCCTACCAGGAATTGTCATGAAGCTCTAACGGGGCCCAACCCAGTTCTTAAAACCTAAGAGAAAAGGACAAAACATAAAAAATGATGAGGGAAAATAGAAGATGAACAGAAGAACCCAATGGTCCTGTCCCCTCATAATGAGGCTTCCATAAGAAATAATCACACACAGGTGACATTAATCAGGCCAGTTTCCCTAGATGGAACAAAAAGCTGTATAAACAGATGAAAAGGGATCAAGTAAAAACAGGAAAAAATAAATAAATGAAACCATCTAATGTATGCAGTTATAATTTTTTATTTCAAAGAATAAAGGAAAGACCCTGAAAATCTTTGAGAAAATAAAATACATTACTTCCAAAGTAACAAAAATTCAAGCTGGCCATAGACTTCTAGCCTGCCGAATACCAGAAAGCAATTTAACAACAGCAGCAAGTTTTTAAAATGATGTGGTATAATTCAAGACATTTATATCTATATTTCATATAGTTGCCATGTATACATGAAGCCAACATATATATTCTCAGGTGTGGACAAATTCAAAACTTCATCTAAAAATGCTTTTCAGAAAACAAGCACTTGAAGCATATTCTGTGACAGCAGTCTCTCAAAGGGGGCAAATTCGTGGGTCCCCAACTAAATGGATTGTGCATTCATGACTTAACCAAGCCAGCTTTTACAAGCTAGACAAGCAGTTTAACAGATAAAAAAAAAAAGTGGCAGATGAAATATAATGCTAATTCTACAAAGATGAGTTAGCACGACAACAACTTCCTTCTTTTCCTAAGACAAGCTCCTCTTCCTGGTACAAATGCTTCCTATGTCACTTTTTAAATTACGAGTTAAAACCATTAAAAACATTTACTGTTGCAAATGTCACGTATTTGAGACAGCAGAAACCAAAGCATCTTCCTTCAAATTCTCACTTCACTTGTATTTCACCAAAGCGCTTCAGAACTTAGATTTCTACCACCTGCATGGAGCGCTGAGCCAAAAGGGAGTCCCATGGGACCAAAGGCCCGTGGAGTTCATTGCCAGGGCCCGGGCATGGGCCGGGGCTAACACGCCTGCCACAGGCCCTGCACCTCGACACGCCCAGGGTGTACAGGGATACACGCACACGAAGGAGGGGGCCAGGCACCACAGTACCAGTGTCATTCATTTCTGAAAGAGCCGCTTCAAGTCCTGACTCTTGACTCTTGTGTGATAGGCCAAAGGATCCTACTTAAGAACTAATTACAGTCAAAGTACAATCAAAAGGATTAAGGCCACGGCATGGAGTGTCCCTTAATCTCCACTACTGTTAACAATATTGGGGACATCAAGTCACCAAGACCCTCCTATCTCTTACGATCCGGCCACCAGGACCCCAGGCCAGGGCAAGACTGGTGCTCCCAGGAAAAGCACCACTTCGGATCCCACTCAGCACTTCCGACTGGCAGCACTGAAAATCAGCGCCTCAGGAAGTCCCAGACTTTGTGCCACAACAAGCAGAAAATCAGCAGCATGGCACTTCCCCCAGAGCGGGTCGCCAGGAGCACCAGACACCAGGCACAGCCCCATTTGTGTATCCAGCGTGTGGACTTGACTCAACAGAAAGCTGGACACAGAAGCAAACATGTCACCAGGGGCTTTAACAAACCCAGAGAAGAAATGACACAGAATAAAGTACCTTCGGATGCCTAAATGGTACCAGAAGTTCAAGTCTACCCCCATCCTTCCAGCTTATGAGACAAGCAGGAGATTCTACCAACACCCTGGCAGACAGTGACGGGAACCTTGGAGAACACCCAGCCAACATTCACCTCCCTCTATATTCAAGGACAACTAAACAGGGGAATAAAAAATCTGTGAAAAATTCAACAGGAAGGAAGTAGACAATACAGCACTCATAATGCAGAGAAAAGACTCACTTTTGAAAAGAAAATTCACTACAGGAAACAGAAATACATTTTAGGGAGCACCTGTCTGCTTTGTGTTCAATGAAATTCAAGAAAACAGATCTGTGAAACAAAAGGGAAAGCTGAAATCATAATGTGATACAAAGTGAACATATTGAGAAAGAAGAAATTAAAAAGAAAAGGTGATATGAACTTAAAAAGAAAACCTAAATGGTGACCAACTTCCTACACATGCAGCCCATATTTGGACGAGCAACCACTACACACAAGCTATAGCTGCTCCATTCCCATACAGCTGCCAGCGCTCTGCTTTTTGCCTCTGCCACACAAATGTTAGGACATTCCAAGTGTCCCTAGTTTTAAAAACTGTCTACCTTTAGGATGGCATTCAGGTGGGTGCTGTTCTAATGGCCTCTCAGCCCACCCTTTCCCCTTGAAGGGGAGAAATCACCCTTTCCAAATAGCTCTTTGCCACTGGTCACCAACTAGTCTCAAAAACTGAAAAATTTCCTAAAGTTTCTGGGAATAAGGAGACCTCCTCACTATTTTCCATTATAGTACAGGTTTTCCCTAATCCTGATTCCATCTTAAGAATGTTGTCCAGCCCTAGCCAGGTGCCTCAGTTGGTGGGAGCATCACCCCATACACCAAGATGTTGTGGGTTCGATCCCTAGTCAGGGAGCATTATTAGGTTGCAGGTTCAATCCCCAGTCAGGGTGCGTACAGAAGGCAACCAATCAATGTTTCTCTCTCACATCAACGTTTCTGTCTCACATCTCTCTCTCTCTCCCCCCCTCCCTTCCTCTCTCTCTAAAATCAATAAACATATCCTTGGGTGAGGATTTAAAAGAAAAAAAAAACTGTCTAAAAATAGCCAAGATCATTCATACCTGTATTTAAGGTATTTCTGTTAAACTTGGAGAAGACAATAAAGGCAGGAGAGCCCAAGTGCCTGCTTTTGTTTTCCTGGCAGTTTGTCTGGATGCTTCTTCGTGGGAATTCATTTTACCTAAAAGGCCAA